ATGAGGAAACGTTGCGACAGGGCTTTACATACAATTTTTACGGTGACAGCCTGTGCTGTCGTGGCTGCTGTCCTGAGAAACGTGAACCGTATATATTTGCCGGCACGTTTTTTTCGTGTTTTATTTGCTGTCCAAGCTGTTGCAATAGCGACGTTGTGAGCCATTGTTATTGTCAATGTCCTTGATCCCTGAAGTCTCGACTGCTGTGAACGATTAATTTGTGACAAAAACCAACGTCACACGTCACCAGTAGACAATTCGTCCAAGCATCATGCCTTTGTCTTATGAAGCTCATTGCCGGCAATACATTGCATTGTCCGGCACGAATGCTGCAAATTTATCCCGCTGCTGCAACTATTGTCACGCCCCCTTACGAAAGAACGCATTTGCTTCTTATGCCGTGGTCTTTCCAGATGGAGACAGGAGATTGATCCCATTGTCAGTCCAACCATGGCCAGGTGTCGGTGGGAAGCACGTGCAGGTGTGGGTTAGGGCGCGACGTTCACGTCCGCCAGGTCCGGCTAAGCAGCGGTCAAGACGACTACGCATGCCAGACAGATTTCTCTGGAATGGGGCGAAGATCTTTATTTTTGGAAGAGCCTTTCCAGCCCAAGGAGATGCGGAGAGACAAGAGCATTGCCACTTTTCTGAAACCAACCAGAAAGGTGTCGGATTAGTCTGGAAGAGCTGCCACGACTTTCTACACCTGTGAAGCTTTCCCGGTTGAGGATTTTCTGACGTAATGATACAAATCATGCGATTGAGGATTTTTAAAAATAGTGTGTAGCCATCCAGCTAGACTCATGACACACTCCGCTGCAAATTCCTAGTCGTCAATAGCTAAATGTCCGTAAATACTTGTTAAAAGTCGATGTAAGCAAAGAGTGAATAATTTCGTTTCACTCATCAGCGCTGCCAAGCGCCGCATGAGAATGGTCCAAGCTTCGCCGCAAGAGCCCGGCTCAGAAAACAGACACCCAGAAATTGGACGACCGGCTCGCTCCATACCGTTTCGGGTATGGATCTCAAGCCTGGAATGCGCCTACACATAAATGATCAACAGCGATCACTGGATCAGCGATCACTGGATCAGCGACCATTGAATCAGCGATCACTGGACCAGCGATCACTGGACCAGCGATCACTGGATCAGCGATCATTGGATCAGCGATCATTGGATCAGCGATCATAGGATCAACGATCACTGGACCAGCGATCACTGGACCAGCGATCACCGGATCAGCGATCATTGGATCAGCGATCATTGGACCAACGATCACTGGACCAGCGATCACTGCATTGGGATAGTCTGAATGGTCTGAACCCAAAGCAGCTGCGAACAATTTTGGGCCAGGTCGCCATGTTGGACCGGAACAGAGGGTCGGCCGCAATCCTCGACCACTCGGCGTCCAGGCAACATATCCCCGCACCCACGGAATTCCTGGATCAGCCTGTGTCCGGGCGGTCTGTCACGCGCCGGCGAGGACATGGAGTCTAACCGGACTGAAAAAGACCACCCGTTTACAACCAGACAGACCGTCTCCAAACTGGCGGCTAGTCACCAACTAGCGGCGCGCACTGGGCCGCCGGCCGGCAGGCGGTGCTGGTGCACGGCCAACGGCGACCTGGACACGGTCGACGGTGACCTTGACACGGCCGGCGGTGACCGGGACATAGCCGGCAGTGACCTGGGCCCGACCGGCGGCGATCGGGACACTGACTGGTTATGATGAACCAGCTGACCCCCCTCCACGGGCCGCTTCTCGCTCATCTTGTGGCTCAAGGCCGGACTAAGCGCCACCGTTAGACCTTACCTTGCGCGGCTCTCCCGAACGTCCCGTCAACTGACCCGGGCCATGTAGAACGATCGGAAAACGGAACGAGATCTTTGAGAGTCGGCCGAGGTGCCGGCGATGGATCGTTCCCTTTCAAGGCCACTCCAGTGCGGCGGCTATTTCAGGCGCTCGTCTCCGTCGATGATGGTGAAGAGATCGCTCTCAAACCGGTCTCGGCCATAACAGTGGTCGCTGAAAGGGAAAGTTGTACCGGCCGCGGGTGGGTCTTCCAGTGATCGGACGGACGGCCGTGAGAGTGCGGATGTGAGCCGCGACTGGCCTCGGCACTAAAATGTCCGATCGGTAACGCTTAAGGTGGCAACAAGGAAAGAAAGTGATAGTCGGACGTATCAACAATACAAGCGCGGAAATCTTACGTTTGGTTGCTGACAGGAGCGCAGCCAGGATTTTCTTAAGGGGGCGAGGGCAGAGCTCGATGATCACGCATCACGCCGATTTTTAGATTCCTGTCGGGAGTCAACCATGGTGAAAACGGAAAATCTCGGGCCTAGAGGCGTAAGGGCTGGTGGCTTCCCTGACTGTGCCCCTGGTTAGTGTTATTTGCACCCCGCTGTGGACGCCATGATTAAGTCTTCCAAGTGACTGGGGTCTCTTAAAATGTTTTCAATTGGCTTTTTATTAGAACCAAGTGGAATTCATTCTGGCGGAGAACAGCCTCTCAACCTCAGGAAGCCCATGACATGTGAAGACTTGCCACCTTCGTGTTTTGTATTCAGCGGTTCTGTAATGCACGAAAACGCGTTCATAGGTCTGAACACGAATCATGCGTTCATACCACACTCGCCCCCGTGCGACTAAATCTAAGGCAAAACTTTTTGCAAGGTCATGACAGATTAAGTGTCACTCGAAAATTTGTTGTGTTCTGTTGATCCAGGTCTTTAAAACCAGCATCATTTTTGGAATGTACTGTGACATTCTGCGAAATTATCCTACCGGTATCCACATCACTTGACAACACGGCAGGCAAGCTTGTTAAACGATCCACGTAGCGTATTTTCCCTGCATCGCAGTCTTCATGGTAACCGCAGCGTATCACAACTGGGGAACCTCCATGCCGTCTCCACCCACCCAGCAACGCCAACTCTTAACGCAGCGCGGCCGGTGACCTCCGGTCGAGACCTCCGGTCATGACCTCTAGGGTCGAGTTCAGCTCCTTCCCGCGGGGATCAGCTGGGCGTGCCGCTCTGCCGACCTCGCCCCCCCCCCCCCCCCCACCTCGACGCGCGCCAATCAAGCGCGGCCGTCGGCCGACCCGCCGAAGGCCGAGGTCGGCCCGTGAAAGGCTCGGTTGCCGCCGCATGGCCCCGGCCACGGGTCAGAGGCCCATGCCGGAGCCGGGCGGCGACGGCACGGCCGAGACGGCGCCCGCGGCGCGGATGGGAACGGCTGGGGACTGAGACGGCGCGGGCGCCGACGGCGGGAGTTCGTCGGCAGCGCGAACGGTGTTGGTACGGACAGATAATGCACGGACAGTAAATGGTACGGATGCGAACGGTGCGTAAACAGAGGACTCGAGGCGCGCTAAACACGCATGGTGCGAACGAAGGCATTTGCGGCTGGCATGCTTCTGACTCCTGGCGTGACTGGGATGGGATGCTCTTGCTTCAGCAGCCGTTTTGCACCGGCACGACGAGTAGAATGTGAGATGCTAGGCCGCAGCAAGCGATGTGACTTCTCAAAACAAATGGTGCAGGTCGACTCGTTTTGCAAGGACAAGTTAAACTGTCCACGATAGATGGTCAGGCTGGTCCTCAAAGTCCCGACGCAGAAAAAAGCAAACGGCAGCGTTTTGTTTCACTCCGTGGTGGAACACCGCAAGTCAATGCAGCACTGTTGCAGCTCTGTGGTACCGAAGCAAGTCGTTGGAGATATACCGAATCCAAAGCGCACCTTTGTTACCGGGAGATTGGGGAAATATCGAATCCAAAGCGCACCTTTGTCACAGGGAGATTAGGGAAATATGGAATCCAAAGCGCACCTTTGTCCCAGAGAGACGAGCCGCTCAATGAACGTATCTATAGATCACCCCCTGACACTGATGTACCCGCATTAAAGGAAATGTTTCACGTTTGGAGATATTGAAGCCAGCATCAGATATGATAAAACAAGCTCACCTACAGCTATTGGTATACTTTTAAAAAGAAAAGACTGCTCCAGACAGCGCAATTCTCTGCTAAGTAAATATGCTGCTCAATACGTCATGGTTGGATTACATCATACCTTGTGTAACATTGATTGAGAGCCAGTTGACTGTCGTTCTATCTGGACATCGTATTCACCAACGCCAGATATAAACGCCTCAACAATTATTTTTTAGCCTTGATAGTCGAATAGCTCATGGATTGGCAGGGTTTGAATAGCGATGTTTTGGCATCATGAATGCCAAGGTGGCTTTGAAATATTCCCCCTGATATACCTATCCTCAATTTTGCGGTCGTTTAGCTAAAAAGCTAGAAGGGCTTAGGTCTTAAAAAGATCAGGATTGTGAATAACACCGAAAGGTCTTCAAGATGGCTATTTCAATTCAAAAGCCCATATAAATGTGGAACACTCCCTTCACGCGCGTCAGAATGATGGCGGTTTCTCACTGGTTTGGTAGCAATGCAGGCCACGGTAAAATATACCGCATTGTGGCGATGCAATCATGCCGGCGAAAGATGTGACCTGAATGGCACATGCCGGTCACGTCAGTGGTGGCATTGCTGAAACGTGGCTAGTGGGACCCTCACAGACGCCATCCAAACAACGCATGGGAGAACCGCCCAGCACCACCACCGTCGGTAATCACGCTGTGAGTTAGCTGTGAGAGCACGGTCAAGAAGTACTGCAACGTCATCATAATGCGTGAGAATGTAACGGGAATAAGAAGAGTTGAGAATAGGCTTAACGTAATTGCGAGCAAGACGGTAAGCTTTTCGTGACACAAATCACCGGTCTTCAAAATGGCCTTCCCATTGTAGAAATGTGCTTGAAAATGGACTTTTTGTGCGGTGATGGCCCAGAGCGAGGAGAAAGAGCCTGAGAGAATTGCTCTGGATATCACCGCAAGGCGCGACGTGGCGTACCCACCGTCCCAAGAAAGCCAAACCACAGGCACGTAACGTTAAAACCCCAGCCGTGTTACAACCTCCGCCCCTGTTTCAGGCTGGTGCCGGTGGCGGCGCTGCTGGCGCTGGCCGCCTCGCTCGACGTGCAGCCGACGGAGGAAGCCGTGTCGTCACGGATCGTGCGCAAGGAGCTCGAAAACGGCACGGTCGTTGAGTACGAATACGTCTACTACTACGACGACGAGGAGTACGCCAACTCGCTGGACTTCGAGGACGGTGTGTTTGATGACACGCTGCTTCAGACAACGGAGGAGACCACAACTACCACCACTACGACGACGACGACCACCACCACCACGCAGGCGTCGCGTCGGCGGACGCTGCCCTTGCGCGACAGCAGCAACGAGATTGGCGCGCAGGGCGGCTCTGGCCGGCTGGGCGCGAGGGGCCGCCTGGGAGGCCGCGGCCTCCGTCCGCGTCCGTCGGCGCGTCTCAGCCCCACCTTCTCCGTCGACCCGGTCGAGGTGACGGTCACGGCACTGCCCGAGCTGGCGGCCGGCGGCGCCGCGCGCTTCGTCGGCGGCGGGTCACGCGGCTCTGGTCGGCGGGGTCGGCCAACGCCGAGCTCATTCCCCGAGCCGGCGGAGGAGCCGAGCGCCAGCGTCGGTCGCGGCCGGCTTTTCGGTCGCGGTCGCGGTCGCGGTCGCGGCGGCGCTGAGCCCGCCGTAGAGCCTGCGGTCGAGCCTGCCGTCGAGCCTGCCGTCGAGGAGGAAACGGCCGCTGACAGCCGCGCACCTGGACGTAGCCGCGCCCCCGGACGCGGCCGGTTCGCCGGCAGGGGGCGCGGCCGGTCGTCCGCCGGCGGCAGCCCTCCGGTCCGACCCGGGACTGAGGCTGATGCCATCGCCGCCATCCTCGGTGGAGCCAGTCCCGTGGAGGTGGAGGAGGTAGAGGCGGCGCCGGCGCCGGCGCCGAGCCGCCGCGGCAGCGGTCGCTCCCGGGCCCGCGGGAGCTCGGCGGCGCCCGCCGTCGGCCGGTCGCGCGACCGCCCGCGTGCTCCGCCGCAGCCGCAGCCAGAGCCGGAAATCCCGATCGAGGAATTCAGCGGCCGCAGGGGGCGCGCTTTCTTAGGGGGCCGAGGCCGAGGCCGAGGCCGTGGTAGCGGTCGCGGCCGTGGCCGCTCGCAACAGGCCGTGACGGACGAGCTGTCCGTGAGCGTGGCGGAGGAGCGCCTGCCGTCGCAAACGCGTTTCCCGCCAAGGGAGGCCACCACGCCGACGCCTGAGATCACCACCGAGACGCCGGTCGCCGACCTGCCGCTGGGCGACCCCGCCCTGTACGCGCTCTCGCAGGGCGTGGCTGGAGAGACGACGCCGAGCGGTGAGGAGGCGGGCCAGCTGCAGCCGGCCGGCGCGCCGTTCTCGGCCACCGAGGCTGGCATCGCGGCTGACGCGACGACCGAACTGCTAGCGGAGGGCGACTTCCTCGGCGCCACTGAGAGAGAGCCGGAGGCCACCACCGAGATCGACTTCACGTTGTTGAGGGAGCGTCCGCAGGAGATTGTTGAGCTGCAGCCGGCGCCGCCGCTCGAGCCGGAGCCTCAGGCAGAGACCACCACCGTGGCCACCACCACCACCGAATCCTCGCGTCCGGGCAGACGACCGCGCCTGCCGCTGGGCAGACGCGGCGGACAACGCCGGCGCCCCAGCTTCCTGTTGCGCGGCGCGAACCAGTCGCAGCAGGACGAGAAGCAGGAGGTGACCAAGAAGCCAATCAGCGGACGCCGACGCCCTGCGCCGCAACAGACCGCTGAGGAGGACCAGGAGGAGGCGCCCGCCGAGGCGGGGGTCAGGCGGCGCCCCGGACGCCTCGGCGCCGGCCGCAGACGGCGTCCGCCGCTGCGTCTCGGCGCCGGCCGCCGGGACCGTCCCGGCAGGCAGCCGGAGGTCGCTGAGATCGGGGACGCGCCCCAGACCGAGGTTGCGGCGGAGGAGGAGGCTGCCATCGATCCCACTGAGGACAGTGATGCCGCCGTCCCTGTCGCCGGGCCTGAACAACCAGCTGCGCCGTCGTCGCGCCGTCGCCTGTCGCCCGGCGGCCGCAGCCGACCCCGGCTCGGCCGTCCAAGCCGCCGTCCCCGGCCCGGTCGCCGCGGCCGGCCAGAGCCCGTCCCCGAGCCCCAGCCCGAGGTTCAGCCTGAGATCCAGCCCGAGGTCCAGGAGGTCCCGGAAATTCAGGAAATTGAGGAGATTCAGGAGATCCAGAAGCAGAGCCGGCGCACTGAGCAAGCACCCGAGCCGGCCGTTGAGGAGGCCGCCGCCGTCGAGGAGGAGCCGGCGCCGGCTCCGGCGATCGGCCGCCGCCGGCCGGCCGGTGGCCTCCGCGGCCGCAGCGGACTCCGCGGCCGCCGACCGTCCCGGAGGCCCCAGGCCACCGCCGCCGCGGAAGAGCCTGCCGCCGCCGAGCCTGCCGCCGCCGAACCTGCTGACGCCGAGCCGGCCGACGCCGAGCAGACGGGTCCGTCCACTCGCGGAGGGCGCCGCTTCCGCCCGAAGGCAACCATCCGCGGCCGGCCGCCGTTCGGCCGCGACCGACGGCCGCGGCCGCCCCTGCGCCGGCCCACCGGGCGGGCGCCGGAGGTGACCGAGGAGCGCACCGCCGCTCTGGAGCAGACCGTCGAGGGGGCGATCCAGCCCGCTGTCGCCGAGACCGCCGCTGAGCTCCCAGAGGAGCCCGCTGAGCTTCCGGAGGAGTCCGCTGAGCTCCCGGAGGAGGCTGCTGAGCTCTCGGAGGAGGCCGATGTCCTGGAGGCGCAGCCGGAGCTGGCCGTCCAGGCAGAAGTGACCACACCCGCGCCCAAGCTGCCGACGCCGGCGGCCGACGAGTCCAACGACATCCCCGAGGCCGCGGAGCCGGGCGTCAGCAAGCTGCGCGGTCTGCTTGGACGCCGCGGCCGACCGTCCCTTCGCTCTCGGCCCGGTGGGCGGCGGCGCTCGAGGCCCGGCGCTGCTGCTCCGTCCCGGTCACAGGAACAAACGCAGACTGAGGAGGAGCAGAAGCAGGAAAGCGCCGCGGAGGCCGCTCCGGCACCTGCCTCGCGGCGTCGCGGGGGATTCCGCCCCCGGATTTCACGCGGGAATGGTGCAAACGTCGGCTCCGATGAGGGCGCAGAGGCCAGGCCAGTATCAGGCCGGAGGTCCAGCAGGAGGCGCGGCTCCTCGCTGGCCGAGAAGGTGGACGCCGCCGAGGTGAACAGCATTACCGGCGACGCCGCTGCTGGGGCTGAGAGCAAGGCCCGCCAGCGCCTGAGCTTCGGAAGGCCGTCGAGGAGGAGGTCGTCAAGCCGTCGCCCTCCTGTCGTTCCGGCCGCGCAGCCGGAGACGGTCGAGGAGACCGTGGTCTCTGAAGGAAGTCAGAACGTTGAAGTCTCTTCAGCTCCCAGTGAAAGCTCCGAGGCTTCTTCTGCCGCTGAGGAGGTTAAAGAGGCCGAGCTGCAGGTCGCCCCTGTGGCGACACCCGGAGGCAGGAGTCCAGGGGCCAGGGGTCGGTCGCTCTTCGGTGGCAGACCCGGCCGGAGGCGGGGAGTGGCTGTGACTGCGGCGGAGACGAACCAGGCTGACGCCGGCGAGAAGACGACAGAGCCTGCGGGCCGTCTGAACTTCGGTAGCTCTCGGTCCTCCCGGAGGAGGGGATCATCCTTTTCGACTCCCACCACTGACGAGGAGAGTGCGAGCCCCGAAGCACCCTCGGAGCCCCGGCGGCGGCTGGCCTTCGGCAGGCCGCCTGGGCGCCGGTCCAGCACCCGTGGTTTCCTCGCCCGCGCCGTCCAGGCCGAGAACGAAGCCAACGCCGCAGAAGAGGTCGCTGCCTCGCCTGAGTCCGGACGCGCCAACACGTTGGGCTTTGCTCGGCAGGCGGGCAGGGCGAACCGCCGGAGTTTCCTTGCCCCCGCCGCCGAGCCGGAGGAGAGCATCTTGGTCATCGCGGCGGCGCCGGAGGCGGAGCCTGAGGCGCCGGAGGCGGAGCCAGAGGCGCCGGAGTCCGCTCCGCCTGCCGAGGCCGGCCCCCGGCCGCTGCGGTTCCGCCTCCGCGGCGGCGGCGCTGCGCGGCCGCGCAACGAGCCGCCGCTGATCCGCGGCCGCAGCGTCAGTCGGCCGGGTGGCCGCCGCAGCCCGCTGTTCGGCCGCCTGCCCAAGCCGCAGGTGTCGGCCGCCGCCGAGCCGCTGGAGGTCAAGACCATCACCGTGGACGCCGAGGCGGAGCCCGTGGACGACCAGCCGACCGAGCCGACCACCGAACAGCCGACCGAGCCGTCCGTGGAGGAGTCGACGGAGCCGGCCGCACAGCAGCCGGCTGAGTCGTCAGGAGCGCAGCCAGGTGAGCCCACCGCCGCAGAGAAGCCGGCGTCGCAGCAGGAGCCGGCCGCGCCGACGCGGCGGCGACGGCCGTTCAGCGGCCGGCCGCGGCCCAACGGCGAGCGGAGGCCGTTCATCCCCGGCCTGCGGCGCGGCGGAGGCGGCCGGCAGGGTCGCACCGGCCGCCGCCTCTCTGCGCTCTTCCAGCGGCCCACGCCGCCGGCGGAGGCGCCGGTCGAGGAGGCGCCGGTCGAGGAGGCGCAGGTTGAGGAAGCGCCGGTTGAGGAGGCACCGGTTGAGGAAGCGCCGGTCGAGGAGGCGCCCGCGCAGCTCGAGGAGGACCCTGTCGAGTCGGAAGCGGAGGTGGCCGAGAGGAAGGCCGCCGAAGAGGCCATCCTGTTGTTGGTGCAGGGTGAGAGTAGAGTCCATGCGGTGGAGCGGGTGGCGGGGTCCCACGCGCGGACGCCAGGTAAACGGGCTTACTCGACCAGAACTGCGGCTGCTTCGTGGCTTCTGTGAATAACCTGCACTTCATGCAAATAGTGTGGGGTAATGTGTGTACCGCACACGACATGTGGAGTTCGTGTCACGCTTCTGGTACTGTGCGCGCTGGTGCGGTGACGTGAAATGGCTTTGTGCTAGCAATATCTTTCAGCTCCACAACGGTCTGTGACTAATGTGGGCCTCATGCTTGCCGCCGCGAGCATCTATGGCTAGAGCTTGGCTGGATAAAGCTACGCACAATGACGTGTTGCAAGTTTGACAAACTGCTTCGACGCAAACGCATGCCGGCGTTTGCAAACTTGGAAGTATCGTGAAGAAAATAGCAATGTATATGACGTGTGTTGCTTCGCTTTTAATTTAAGGGCCTTGCGTGTCGCACTCGTTGAGCATGACACGGGCGATTGTTTGATTGCGGAGTGCGGTACGAAAAATGACAGAAACAGCAATGAATTAGTCACTTGCAACACTAGTTTAGAATGCTATTCTGCTCATTGCTCCGAGCTAACTTACCGTAAAACTGCTCGGCAGGTTCACTTAAACCTTGTTTTGCATCAAACATTGAGACCTTTAATGTAAAAAGACACCGGTGGCCTTTGCACGGCCCCGAGTTCTATGTAAGATACACAAGCGGTGACGCTCCACCGGGCACTTCCACAGCGGGTCTCGTCCCAGCGAGCCCGGCGCGCTCCTTTCTCCCGTGGCCTGCCTGACCTCGCCGGACCCGTTGCAGAGGAGCTGGCGACGGCGGTGACCGAGGCGGAGTCCCCGGAGCCGACCGAGGCGCCGGAGGCAGCGGGGCCCAGGCCGCGGCTGCGGGGCCGCGCCGGCCGCCTGCCGCGCCCGGACCGCGCCGGCCGCGCCAGGCGGCCCTCGCTCTTCGAGAAGCTGCGCAGCCAGACGGCCTCCGACTAGGGGGCGCCTCAGTCATCGCGACCCTGGCGGCCACGCCGGCGACCTCCAGTCATCATCATCGAACGTGGACCGGCGCCGCGGGATGGCACAGGCACTGGAGCGACCCCGCCACAGCTGGGCACGGCAGCTTGTTGAAATGAGAGGTGTTGGGGGAGGGGGATATTTCGATTTTAATTGCGGGTTCTTCAGGGGGATGGGAACTATTTCACAAAAAGCGCGAGTGCTGACGACGCCTTTGGGACGCGTCCGTGGCCAGGCCGGTCCCAAACTTAGCCGGCGGGCTAGTCACAAACCGAAGCCTCCGACTCCCACGGAGTTGGAGGCCATGCGACACCGTGGCAGATATCAACTGGTGTCGTGAATCCTACCCTCCGCCGTATCTTATCGGTTCTCGAAAGTGGAGCCTGTTTATTTGATTCCAACAGTGGCTCGCGTCCGTGTATTTAATTCGAGTAAGTTACGACTACGGCGCTTCGGAGACGCGCGGTAGGACCGTCACGAGAAAAAGAACACCCTTGTCGTATTTCCGGCTCCGATCGACTGATTGGTACAACATAGTTCACTATATTGTTACGATCCGTTTCTACTGATGCAAGATGGCGGCGTTTAATGATAGTGCCATGACTACTGTGTGCATTGATGTTACATGTGTGTGTGCGCGACTTCGTCATGTAGAATCGCTGTGATGAGATAGGTTTTGATATTCATTCGCCAACAATACACTATCCTTCGCGTACACCAGCGTGCTTTCGTTGAGGTGCCACAAAGCAAACGGATTTCTACGGTTCGGTCCACTTTCTTCTTAAAGTTGGGATGGAGGCTGGAGCCCCCCACTGATTACGAAAGTGTACCCCTAATCATAACGTTCTGAAAGGAATCTGCAGTCATTTAGTGCTTCCGCAGCAGTTCTGAAATAGTTTAGGAATAATCCATTGCATTTAATGAATAAGTCGAGCATCTGAAAGCTACTCATCCGCCGCTGCACTTGCACCAGTGAGAACCCGAAGACACACATCCGTCTTTTCTCTTTAATTAATTGAATTCATTATTGGGGCTTGGTGAGCCAGGGGCTGCCAGGGTCACTTACTGACGAGACACCCTCACTGGGTACCAAATGGAACGCAGCAAAGGGGAGGCAAAAAGTCCATCCATGACCAGCGAGGTGGAGACCCGGAGCGCTGAACAGCGCACGATCGCTCCGTTCTAAAACATATTCCGAATGGTTTGCATGCGTGGCCTCGGGCTCAGAGTACCTGCTAAGCGTAGCTTGTGCGCGTACCCTGAACCTACCACTCAAGTCGTGCCGTCCAGTTAAACCGAAAATTTCGCCTCCGCCCTTTCACCAGACAGGAATGTGGAGGGGTTTCTGTCCTGCATAATGCTGCGGTACGACCGCCCGGATGTGGGTTGACCTCGTTGGCAGGCTGCCAGCTGACCTCTCCTTTTCATTTGGGCCAAACAAGGCACCCGTTCTGGGACCCACGTCAAGTGCCGCTAGATTACGAGTACAGCATCTTCCTCCCCCCCCCCCCCCGACCACGGAGTCACGTCGGCCTTCTTTTAAGGCGGGCGACGACGCTCGGCTAGAACACGGACGCCACACGGCCAAACATGATTTCGACCCAGCCAAACACGGCGACACGTAGGTATTTGTTCCGCTGTATTGTGATGAGAATGACGGCCGCGGCCGGGGCCTGCCAGCCAAGAATTACGCCTTACGCAACATCGTCCAAAACTCACGACCAGGACGTGACCTGAGCTCAGTGGCGCCACGCGCTGACCGTGCGACCACCGGTCCCAGGGGGTCGCGCCCCCACAGCCACAGTCGCGCCAGTGGCCGCACCCCCCTCCACGCACGCGCGTGAATCAAACCCCAGACACGGCCGTCCCAGCGGCCGGCCCTGCCGCTCTCGGACCCGACACCCGGATACGCTTCCCAGCGGTCCGGTCGCGCGTGGTCCGCGACGGACACCGCCTCGGGGCCGCGCCCAGGCGCAGCATACGCCTCTCCACCTCGACATCTACCAGCACACGCACGATGCACGATGCGAGTGGACTCGCGCTGGCGCCCACGCCAGGCGCCGGGCGACGCGGCCGCTTAGATGGAGTACACCTTGAGCGTGCGGTCCATGCTGGCCGAGGCGATGTACGAGCCGTGCTGACCGAACCGGACGCCCGTCGCCAGCGCCGTGTGGTCGGTGAAGGTCACCAGCTCCTGCCACTGCTTGCACATGTACACCCTGGCGGAGGAGGCGAAAGGGCAGTCACTCACCGCTGGTAGGGCGAGCTGTGACTGGCGGCAGCAAGCGGGCGTGCAGCCGGCCGATGGTGATGACGCGCTACTGTTCCGCTACACAAGAAGTATCGCAGGCGCCCTCGTTGGCGCACATGAAACGTCGCCGCAGGATCAATAAGCCCGACACCATTTGAGAACACAACAATACAATGCCCATCACAGCCCAAGGCAGCCTAACACCAGGTTCCTCTCCACAGAAGGTCGAAGCAGTAACCAGACCACGTGCGCAGCTGCGCATTGCTCTCAGGCAGTGCCAGCCTTCCAGCGGCCGCGCCGCGTCCATGAGACCACATGCAGTAGGGAGTCACACCCGACCACTGGCGGAGCGGCACAGACCGACAGTGCAGCGACCCCGCGCCCGGGCCAGGCCATCCCTGCCCGCTCCACCCCCGAGACTCGCTGCTCCGTCCCTCTCACCTGACGTCGGTGCCGGCCACGGCTAGGTACGTGCCGCTCTGGTCGAAGCAGAGGTCCTTCACCTCGTAGCCGTCTTCCAGCTGGATGGTCTTGAAGTTCTTCAGCTTGCGCAGATCCCACAGCTTGACGGAGGAGTCGTCGGTGGAAGTGGCCAGGTAGTAGCCGTTCTCCGAGAATGAGATGGCCGTGATCGGCCCCGAATGACCTGCGCAGAGGTCATCCGGGTTGACGGTGCCAGCGAGCGCGCCACGGGCGCAGACACGCGATACGCACAGCCATCCATGGGCACACAAACGAGACCACGCGGCACAACATATCACGAGCACTACATTTTGGCGTTATCGAGTAACGCAAACAACGCATATATACAGGCGTAACTTGTTGATTGGAGTTTTAGGGCGCATCGACTACTGTGGTCATTTTGCGCCCATAACAGCTAAGTGACTAGCTTCGGAGTGTGACTATGAAATGACTAAAAATAAATATTATTCAGAAATAAAAACGGCTGAGTTGTATCAGGAACGCGTCATTGATACGAAATTTTCGGCAGCCTAAAAACTTCCTACACGCGGTATAAACTATTCAGACAGGTGTATATAAGGTGTAGAACTTAACATGCGATACAAACCTGAGGGTATGTTCGATATATGGCGACCTGTCACATAGTAAATCGGAGAGCGTCAGGGACGGTGCCGCAGGGCCAAAGTACATCAGACGCTCGACGCTTAGTGTGAGACAGCATACGAGCACATGTTCCACCGTGAGCGTGGTGTTGCAGTGGCGACATCGTGGTAGTTCGTCGTGACATAGCAAGTATCGATGTGTAGCATAAGTATGGCCAATCCGCAAGCGACACAGGGTTACTTCCTCCCGTCTGGACTTTCGATAGGATGACTGCCATTCGTGAACAATCGGTTTAATGCTCTTCAGTTTGCTGGTGCCCATCACATCCCATGCGCTCTGCCATTCCTCGCGCAAAAAGGCAGAGATGGCCGAGCACAGGTCTGTAGCGGGTATCGGAAACACTCTGCGACAGGGACGACGAGTAGTACGCTTTGCCGCGGAGTCAGCCAGCTCATTTCCCGCAATGCCAACGTGGCTCGGAATCCAGCAAAGTGCTAAGGTCTTGCCAGCCCGGTACAGAGAGTCGAGACGCAGTAAAATATCCTATATAAGGGGATTTACCGGATTAAAACACCTTAATGCCGAAAGGACACTTAGGGAATCCGATAAAATCACGTGCACTGTCTTCGCCCACCTCTATACGACAAAGCGCCTTAGTGATGGCCACAAGCCCTGCAGTGTACACGCATGGGCTGGCAGTGTAAATGATCGCGTATCGGGACCACACACAAAAGCGGAACCAACACCCGTATCCGTTTTCGAGCCGTCTGTATACGTAATTGTGAACCCCCGATATGTTTCGATATGTTTCAGAACTGTTGATCTGGCAACGTACGGAATCATATTTTGCTTCCGAACCTCCGACAATGAGACGTCGACAGTTGGCGATACCATCGCCCACGGAGCGGTCGGCAGGCTACGTGGGCGTGCCACACCCCTTAAAACTTAGTCACTCTCATGAAGAACATTATGAACACGCACACAGAACGGCGCCACACGTGTTGCTTGTCCGGACTGAAAAAAAACCTGGGATGTGTGGCGTGAGAACACAGCGTCATGTGTTAGGTGGTTCGGGAATTGCGTGAGCTTACAGGCGTACCGCATTCCCAACAACTGTCTTCGGGTAGCCAGCGAAGGTTCGTTGGCTTCCACAAGCAAGCTGGCTGTCGGAGACGTACGAAATGCGCCAGTAATGATTCTCAACGCAGCATGATGAACCGCATTCAAGGTGCGTTTTACGGGCTCAGAGGCGCCATCATATACAACACACGCATAGTCCAGCCTGGAGCGTATCAGTGAACGGTATAATAATAAAAGTGCTTTCCGATCTGCTCTGTACGACGTTCGTGCCACACATTTCAGTATGTTCAGTGTCTTAAAACACTTGTCACGCAGAGTGGTAAGATGCTCCTTGTAGGTCAAACGCTTATCAAAAAGTAATCCCAAAAGCCGTGCCGCCGTATTGCAGGGGATCGACTGTCCATCAAGCTTAAGCACCATGTCGGGACACTGACGCCGGCGTCAACAAAAGTGGACGGAAACTGTCTTCGAGGTGAAAAACCGTAACCCGTTGAGCATGCTCCATCTTTCTAAGCGAGCCACAGCCAACTGCAACTGACGCGACATGGACGCTGCTGTGGCAGAGCTGCACCAGATGGCGAGGTCATCAACAAAAAGCGGGCGACCAATCGCCTGGGGAGGACTGTCCCCAACATCATTTATCATGACGGCAAACAACGCAACACTTAGTACACTGCCCTGGGGTATGCCGCTCTCTTGCGTGTATCTTTTCGAGCGTACGGAACCGACACGGACGAGGAAGAAACGGTCAGCAAGAAAGTTCGCAAGAAAGATAAGCATAATGTATAATAAGCGTATGCCATACTGGAACAGCTTCCTTAAGATGCCATATCGCCAGGTGGTGTCGTAAGCCCTTTCAATATCGAAGAACACAGCTCCTACGTGTCGCCTTTCCCTAAGAGAAATGCGCACAGTTGAGTCCAAGGCTAAAAGGTGATCAACGGTACTACGGTTTTTCCTGAAACCACACTGCGCGTTCGAGAATATACTGTTGCTTCCTAAAAAACAAGACAACCGTGTCTGAACCATCCGCTGCAGGAGTTTGCACATAGAGGAGGTCAGCGCAACTGGACGGCAGTCAGATGAATTCCTCCCATTCTTGCCAGGTTTCAGCAACGGAACTATGAGCGACTCCCGCCAGGAGGTGGGTAATTCTCCTGCCTCCCACAACTGGTTGAATGCCAGCAACATAGCTTGTGTTGCTGTAAGTGGAAGTCGCCGGAGCATATCATTATGAATTAAATCCGGGCCTTTCGCCACGCTGCGAAGAGAGCTAATGGCAGACATCAGTTCAAACATTGTGAAAGGTTTGTTATATGAAAACTCTTCGGCTGTATGAAAGTTTATCTGGGCTACTTCGCAACGAGCACGATGGCGTATGAAATCAAGAGCGGCAGTTATCCGCCCACGACGCTCCGCGAACGCACGAGCCATTTCGTTCGCCACCTTAGAGGGGTCCAGTACGTCCTGGCCATTCATATGAAGTACGGGGTGCGGCACTGAGGAGTGTTGGCCTGCTAAACGCTTCACCCGCCCAAACCACCGAAGTCGGCGTTTGGCAATTTAGCTGGCCCACATATAAACGCCAAGACGTACGCTTGGCTTCCAAGATAGTACGTCGGGCTGCCGCCCGAGCTCGTCGAAAAGCGATTAAGTTGTCCGTAGTGCTGTGTCGATCGAGGTCTCGCAGGGCTTTTTTACGCGCACGTATAGCGTCGCGGCACTGGTCCGTCCACCACGGAACAGGGGGACGACGTGGGACACCAGATGTACGTGGGATGCTTTCTTGTGACGATCGTAAGATTGTGGGGGTGAGTTCTTCCATCGATGCAGGCACATCCGCCGAAACGGAAGCCAACCTGGTTTCCACCCGTGCCTGAAATTCATCCCAGTCAGCCTTTCTAAGATTCCACCGTTGTGGCCTGGAACCGAGAGCTGCTCCGTTCTGGTAGCGCAACCAGATGGGGTAATGCTCACTGCCGAAGGAGTCGTTGTCAACGGACCATGTCAGGTGTACCGCCAGTTGGGGGCTTGAAAAACTCAAGTCCAGCGCCGATGTGTGACCTGACGGCAGCGTCATGTGAGTTCGAGTCCCGGTGTTTAAAAGACAGAGAGGTTCATCACGTAAAAAAGTTTCGCAATGCCTGCCGCGGGTGTTGGTCTGGGCGCAACCCCAAGATGTGTGGTGAGAATTAAAGCCACCCAGCAATAGAAGAGGCGGGGGAAGCTCGGTCACCAGAAATCTCATTTCTGCCGTCGGAAATGGAATACCAGGAGGTAAGTACAGCGAGCAGACGGTTATTGCACGACGCCCGAAAAGTATCTTAGCTGCAACAGTTTGCAGGCCAGAGTGTAAGACGACGCGCTGGACAAAGACACTGTGGTGCACTGCCAAAAGAACTCCGCCATGTGCAATTGGATCAGCTGGCGTATCCCGACGCATTACGGCGTAGCTCGGGATACTAAAATGAGAGCCAGGTGCCAGTTTGGTCTCCTGCAGGCAGGCGATGGCGGGACAGCGCTCATTCAGAATGATTCTGAGATCGTGTAGACTAGTTCTCACGCCCCTGCAGTTCCACTGTAAGATACTCGTCATAAAGCTAAGAAGTGAGGGTAGCCATTACACACCTAGCTCACCAGCACAGCGCGCAGAATATCACAGTCAATAAGCCTGCAAGGGGGCGCACTAAAAAGGGGTCAAAGTCACTGTTTAAGACGCGACACGGTTCAAAAGAACTGGGCTGCGCAAGAAAAAGCAGGACTGAACACCTCGGTCTGGGAGGTGCGGCTCGATTCTGCAGAGCGGTGCCCCACTCTGGGCCGAATCCTTGGGCATCCTCCGTCGGATGGGGACGGAGGACCGGCTGGGGGGCGCTTTGTGCCAGCGTGCCCAATCCTGGGTGGTGGAGGGGGAGGACCCATGGATGGGGCCCTGCCAGGCATCTGAGGACCAGCGGGAGGCTCAACTGGTTTTCTGGGCGATGGAGCACCGCTGCGAGGGACGGACTCCTTGCCCGCCCCAGACGTGCGGTTCGCCGCCCTCGCCCGTTCTTGTTCGGCCAGGCGTGCCCGCTTGGCATTGCGGGCGCGCCTGTCCGCCTCGTGCCGCTCCAACGTTTCTATCGCCAGCCCACATGTGTTCGCTGATGGTGTCGGAGGTGACGAAGGCAGCGGAGCACGTGAAGCGGGGGCGGACGAGGGTGGCGAGGAAACCGATGCGGAGGCCGGTGGAGCCCGCGCGCCACGGCCACGCCGGACCACCGTCCAACCCTCCTCTCCGGCAGGAGCCAGCGGCGCCGGGGGAGTCCGCAACACGGAGGGTGCTGACCGGCCAGACGCCGGGGATGGAGCAGGGGGCTTAGCCCGAACGCCAACATCCGCCAGAATCGTCGGCCGGCGAGAAGGGAGTCCGGACTGCTGGCTGGGAGTCCGGTGTACGTGCTGATGGCACAACAGTGAGACCAAAGGATCTCAAGAGTCCCACGAACTGAATGACAGTCATCTGCTCGATGACGTTGTTGTGCGGCAAAGCAGTCTTCACTTTCGATGCATATGAGAGGTTAGGATGACTCGCGTCATACAGGTATCTGGCCTCTCGGAAAGATATGTTTTCGGACGTTTTTAGCGAAAGTACCTCCTTTTCTCTGACGAACGCTGGACATGAACGGTCAAACACAGTGTGTGGTGTTTGGTCCTTACCACAGTTGACGCAATAAGGGTGGTCAGCGGTGCAGTTGTCACTCAGATGGGTGGTGGATGAACACTTGCTGCATACTGGATTGTTGCGACAATAGGGTTTTGTATGGCCGAACCGTTGACATTGGAAACAGCGCATTGGGTTGGGAACAAAAGGACGGACTTTCACGCGGGCATAGCCCCCACGGATATCTGATGGTAGACCCGGACGATTGAAAGTGAGAATGATGTTGTTGGTAGCGTTCAGTTCTCTTCCTTTCCTAACCAGGATTCCACGCGCGGCGGTTACGCTGAACTCCGAAAGCTCCTCCACGACTTCGCTCGCACTTACATCACGGAGGTCAAAACAATTTACGACGCCTCTAGATGAGTTTTTTTGTGTTGTGTGGTGTAACTATCAAATACACGGTTTTGTCATGTTTCCCGTTCTTATCACGAATACTATAAATGAACTCCTTCGCTTCTAATGCACGCTTGGCCTCCAGACCACTGGCAAACTCTACCTCGATGTTGCCATCCCTAAGCTTGTCACACCTCGTGATGTCTCCAAATTTGTCACAGCCGTTGCGTCGTTGGAACGGTGACAGGGTGGAAAGCTTTATATCTCCGCTGGAGAAGATCAGAATCCGAGGACAAGGGGGGGGGGGGGGGGCCGAATCCTCCTCGCACCCGGGCCTCAGCGCTGTCCGACCTCCTTTCGGAGGCCGGGTCTTTGTTGGGTTTTGAGAAGCTATGCAATTTTTTTACAAGCATTCGGCACCGGGGCTCCCCACCCACCTCGGAGCCCAACAGAGGGACGGCCCAACACTCCCTCGGGAGGTGGTCACCGCCAGGGCTACCCCGGTGCTATACGGGGCGAACGACGCCTCCCACACGGCCAGGTGTAACCGGGGAGACCTCTCCCCGTCCTGACCGTGGTTCAGCGCCGCCGCCCCTTGCCCCCTTAAGCCGCTGCGCGCGGCCAGGCGCCCCAAGCGGAGTCCCGCAAGGAGCACCCAACCGCAACGCGAGGGACAAGCCGCTAGACCCATGTGGGGCCCCACGGGCCCCCCACGCCCCCGGATATTCTGGCCAAAGTGGAGTGTTGGGACGCGCCGTGACTGACCCGCACGACGCGCCCCTCAGCCACCAGGATCCGATCAACCCGGAGACGTGGGCGAGGGGGCACGGCGACCCCGATCAAACGAGGATGAGGAGTGGTGATAGGGCCGGATGACGGAGAACGGGTAATGGGAAGCGGAGCGGACGGGACGAGGAGCAGGAGCTCACGTACCGGCAGGGTCGCTACGCCCTGAAAGGAACAGCTTGCGCTGTCCACCCGTTACCGGAGCTGGGACCCGAGGGGGCGCTAGTCCCCTACACCGGCCGAAGCCGGTGTCCCTGCGGGGAGGGAGCGGGCGGGGCAGGGAGCAGGACCTCACGTACCGGCAGGGTCGCTACGCCCTGAGAGGAACAACTTGCGCTGTCCACCCGTTACCGGAGCTGGGACCCGAGGGGGCGCTAGTCCCCTACACCGACCGAAGTCGGTGCCCCTGCGGGGTACAGGCGTAACTAAACCACAATGTACTCCGAAATGTGAAGTTTTTGTCCAGTGACCAATATCAAGGCAACGTCTAGCATATTTTGGAGGTTTCTCTTCAAACGCGGACGCTCTTTGTGGCAAACTTTATGCGTCCACAAACCTTCGCATTGCACAACTGGCCATCTTCACCTACTCTCGACATCACAAATGATGACGGCATACGACCGCCTTACGAAGCAACATAGCCGCCAACCCGGCCTTCAAACCCGTCGTCGGGACGTTTGATTTATCCACGACTTACTGGGGAAGTTCGCGACGTTGCTGCGCTCTTTGAGATCCCAGATCTTGATGAAGGACTTGGATGTGCCCGTACCGAAGATGAGGCCGTCGGGGTGGAACTGAGCCGTGGTGAAGCCTGACGAGCTGTTGTCGGCCACCTGGCGGAGGAGGCGTGTGCTCAGAGGGCACATGAACCGGCCACCGTCTCACACTCGAGCGCACGGCGAGGACATAATAGCAGCACACGGTGAATTACTTGCAAGAACCATCATCCACGCATCCCCGATGAACCATTTAAGCCCCACCAAAGCGGGGGCACACAACTAAAGCGCAGGCACACGACAACCAAAGCACGGGCACATGACGACCAAAGCGCGGGCACACGACGACCAAAGCGCGGGCACACGACGACCGAAGCGCGGGAACACGACGACCAAAACGCGGGCACACGACGACCAAAGCGCGGGCACACGACTACCAAAGCGCGGGCACACGGCGACCAAAGCGCGGGAACACGACGACTAAAACGCGGGCACATAACGACCAAGGCGCGGACACACGACTACTAAACCGCGGGCACACGACGACCAAAGCGCGGGAACACGACTACCAAAGCGCGGGCACACGATGACCAAAGCGCGGGGACATGGCAACTAAAGCGCGGACACACGACAGCACCTAGGCCGTCCAGTGAGCTGCGCAACGTACCTTGTTGGTGACGCGGCTTACGACGAGCAGCGCTGAGCCGCGCCCTACAGAGCACACGGCAGGCAACCCCCCCCCCCCCCCCCATCCGGCGGCCACGCCCTTCCCAAGTGGACCGTCAGGCGGCACGTGTCACTCTCCCCAGCACAAGAGCAGTACCCGGGCGGACACCGCGCCACATCAGTCCGTCTCCGCCCGCGCGGCGCGGCCGCACCTTTGTGAGCACGCGGCCTGAGCGCAGGTCGGTGAAGGCCCAGTGCTCGTCGCTGGAGCAGCTGAGCACGTAGTCGCCGGTGGCGTGCAGCGACAGGCCGGTGACAGGACCCTCGTGCGCGCGGATCAGCTGCACCGTCTGCGCCGTCGGCACATTCCACACGCGGATAGTGGCGTCCGGCGAGGCGCTCAGCACCGTGTCCTGCCGGCCGGGAGGCGCGTCACGCTCGGCCCGGGGCGATGGCGGCGCGGCTGTCGATTTTGGCTCTCGCGTGGGCCCATCAGGCCGCGATGCAGGTCACTGCAGTGGCCAGCGCCGCAGCAAACGGCGCGAGTCACGGCGGCGAAGGCAGAGCCGCATTTGAGAAGGGTACGAGTGTCAGAGCCCGCGAATTCTAGTGGTGAGGATGACATGCTGCCAATAGACGTTGGTGATCCACGGCTTCTCGGATACAATGCCCGACAGATAAGAATGTACCGTCATTGGCGCCGGCAGTTTGGACTGCATGGCACTTGGGCTGCGATGTCAGCCCCGCCTCAGAGTTCAGTGGTAGCTGAGAGACCAATACAATTGGGGACACCGCTGACGAGCAACTACTCTGCGATACCGTGCCTCGCACACCATCATAACGGGACAAATCGCTTAGAGCGGTCGCACATATTACAAACATCTCCCAACCCTAGCATCAAGAGGCTTCCAACACCAGCAATGCCACGTCCAAAAACTCACAGAAAAATAAGTTTTTCAACAACTTGAAAAACGGTCATTCCGTCACATCACATGCGCGCACAGGGCAGCAGCTGGACCGCGCCTGTGGCTAGCCGGCCATCCTGGCCTCACCTCCTCCGGGTGGTAGATGACCTTGGTGACCTTCTTGGCGTGGCCCTTGAGGATGCAGACCACCTGTTCGGTGTCCTTGTTGAAGACGGTGCAGTTGCGGTCGCTGCCGGCCGTCACGATCTTGCTCGTGTCCTCCTGATGCACGTCCAGCGACAGGATGCCCGGCACCGAGGCACTGTGCAGACCCTGCGGCGCGCGTCGACACACAAACACGCACGGTCAGCGAGCGGCGGACACCCGCCGTCGCGCGGAACATGGGGTCGGGCACACGCAGCAGGAACAGGCGGGGGGGGGGGGAAGGTGATGACTGCAGGCAACGAATACGACATCAAAGTGGCACAGAGCCGGGTAGCCCAAGCGATCGAGATGGGACATCGTCTCAATGCTTGCAATAAACCAAGGGAAAAAAGAAATCTTAAATCGGTGAAGTGGAATAGGAGTTCAAACCACGATTAGCACCGGAACAAAACAGTTGTCAAACTTTCTCCCAAGTAAACACTTTCATGAGTCCATGTAAAATCAGCCAGTCAGCAGCCGGAAGGTCATCGCCAGGATTTCACGCCAGAGAGGGCTAACCAACGCTCGGGCACGAGAAGACAGAATGCTGACTTAGACCGACAAACAAGTTAAACAACAGGATCGCTGCTGACGCGCCAATGAGAGGAGGGGCGGCAGGGACGGAAGGAGAGGGGACAATACAGATACAGGTGCATGATGACACATCTGAGCCGATCATCAACTGACCGGGTTGGAGCTGACGGTGCGGTACGTGCGCAGCGTCTCTTGCGTCACCAGCTCCTCGGGCACCGTTTTGCCACGCTTCTTGCGCTCCTGCGTCAGCACGGTGGCCTTGTCCTGCAACTGCTTGATCACCTCGGGCGTCATGCCGGCCTCCTGCTGTGGCAGCTCCGCCTTGGCGCCCGTCTCGGCCGGTGCCGCCTGCGGCGGCTGGGCGGCAGCAGCCGCAGCCGCAGCCGCAGCCGCCGCCGCCGCCGGCACGCCCGCCTGCGGCTTGAGCGTGGCGAGCGCCTCACGCGCGGCCGTCACCTCCTTGGTGAGGCGAGCGATGACGCGACACGCGGCATCGTGCTGGTAGAGCGCGTGGCTCAGCTCCTGACGCGCCGTCTGCAGCTGCTGGCGCAGCGTGAAGCTGTGCAACATCACGGCGTCCCACTCGTCCTGCAGCGACTTCAGGATGGCCGGGATGCTGGTGGCGGAGGGTGCCTTCGGCTTCACCAGCGGCGACACTGCCAACAGACGCAGAGGTCAGCGGCGGGTACAAACGTGCAGAACAGTACATCCGCTGGTGCCAAAAGTGCACGACAGAAAATGCAATCCTTACAGCCGACCCCCAGCCGTCAGCTTAAGTACAAGCTACTTACAACTCACTTCAGTCCTGGCCCTCCAGTTCAATATCGATCTCCTGCATAACAGTAGCCTTAAAAGGCATCTTAAACTTTAGCAGACATTACACCAAGTTTGTCTGAAAGCCCACAACTTCAAATCACACCTAACCTAAGAGTTCCAAAAGCCACGTCGTCGGTCGCTTGCCAGCCAGCTTCACTGCACCGACCTTTGATGTCGATCAGCTCGTCAGTCGTGAGTGGTTTGTTGGCGACCGGGTCGACGCCATTGTCAGTGATGTACTTCTCGATGAGTCGCCGTTCGAACACGGCACCCGACACGGGCGAGACGCATGGGTGCTCGGGTGCCTCATTGCTGACTGCAACATGCCAAGTGGTGTGAGAAGCTAGGCAACACAACACAGAATCCAGACAAGTATATGCCTGGACTATTCATAAACATAAGCATAGCCATCCTGCTGACATTTTCATTGACCTTGAAAAAATGCAAACTTTCATTTACACCACTACAGGAGATCAATGAAATATGCAATTGTTGCATCATACACATCATAGCTATTTTAAGCTACAAAACAGGAAGTTGTTGTTGATTGATGTTTTCGGGCGCGCCGACTGCAGCGGTCATTCGGCACCCATAACGATTTTTGTTCTATCTAACTAATGAACCGTGTAGAGTCCCGAAGTTGATATGTTTAAGGAATAAAACGACCTGTTTAGATTCAAGAAGGCGCGAGTTCTCTCCTAAAATGTCACAGAGCGTCAAGGGCGAGTCACGCTGACCAAAGAATCGTCGACGTTCTTCCCTGAGGCGCGGACATGATGTAAGCACATAACGAACGGTGAGAACAGCACCACATCGATGACAGACCGGTCTTTCGGCCCCTTGCAGCAAATAACCGTGCGTTGTGCACGTGTGTCCGATACGTAGTCTGCTGAAGATCACCTCTTCTCGCCTCATTTTGCGGAAACACGAAAACCACTCACCCAGCTTGGGTTTTATTGCCCTGAGCTTATTTTCATTTGTTACATCCCAACAACGTTGCCATTCGTTCTGCGGAAAGGTTTTTATTGCAGAGTAAAAATCTCTGGCAGGGATCGAGAGGGAGCGTATACATGGAGCCAACGCTGCTCGCCTTGCAGCCGCGTCAACCACCTCGTTGCCGGCGATTCCAGTGTGACTGGGAATCCAACACAAGACAACTTTCTTTCGGGCCTGATCCAGTTGAGCCAAACGTCCTAAAATATCCTGTACAAGCGGACATGACGGATAAAAAGACCCAAGACTAAGAACACTGCTAAGAGAGTCTGTCAAAATCAGATGTGAAGGTTCGTCACTGACTTCGATGAAACACAACGCCTTGGTGATCGCTACCAACTCCGATGTGAACACCGACGCATGTGGAGGCAAGGAAAACGACCGGATGGCGCTGCCGCTCACAAACGCACAACCCACACCGCCAGAAGTTTAAGATCCGTCCGTGTAAGTAAGTGTGTAATCGTCATATAACGCCACACGCTCAAGTGCCCTCGACCTCATTATATCTGGCAGGACGACATTCTTTTTCATTCCGGTCAAAGACGTATCTATTGATGGCGAGATCAAACGCCAGGGAGCGGTGGACAGATGATCTACCCGCTTCAACCTTCGAATGGGAATTTCGCTTTCCCGTAGCAAGGCTTGTATTCGGAGCCCAAAGGCTACAGCATATGCCCGAGGTGCACTGTGACGAAAATGCAGAGCAGGCCGCGAAAAAACTGCGTTATATGCCGGATGGGAGGGGAACTGTCGCAACTTTAGTGCATAACGCATACCGAGCATTTTCCTTTTCGCTGACAAGGGCGGCTAGTGCGATTCTACCATGAGGCTCGTGGCAGGCGATGTGCGGAACGCTCCTGAGATTACGCGTAGAGCGGTATGATGGACAGTGTCCAGGACGCGTTTAGTGGACTCACACGCGCTGTCGTGAATGAAACATGCGTAGTCCAGCTTAGGACGTATGATTGAGCGATACAATAGCAAAAGCGTGCTTCTATCTGCCCCATATGATGTGCGCGAAACACATTTTAGCATCTTTAAGGATTTAAAACAGCGTTCACGTAGCGTCTTAAGATGTGCCTTATATGTTAGTCGGCGGTCAAGGTATACCCCAAGGTAATTAGCCACAGGCTCCGTTGAGATGCGTTGGCCACGCAGACGGACAGACATATTGCCGCACTGCCGACTACGACAGAAATGCATGGCTACAGTCTTGCTGCTAGAAACTGCTGCTGAACCCATTTATGGTGCCCCACTTCTCGATACGATCCACAGCCAACTGAAGATGGCGCTCCATCGATGAAGCTCTTGCTGCGCTAGTCCAGATGGTAAAGTCGTCAACACAAAGGGCACGACCTACAGAATGTGGCAGCCCAACCCCGATATCGTTTATCATAACGGCGAGCAGTGATACGCTCAGAACACCACCTTGCGGCACACCATTAACTTGATGGTGCCTCTCAGAAAGCGCGCTCCCAACACGGATAAGGAAATAACGGTCAACTAAAAAGTTCTGAAGGAAAGAGCCCATATTGATGCGTATACCATACTTATATAGCTTGACAAGAATACCACGACGCCATGTTGTGTCATAGGCGCCCTCTATATCAAATAAGACAGCGCCAGTGTGTCGATGTGCTTTAAATCCCTCACGAATCGCAGTGTCAACAACTACAAGATTATCCACCGTACTGCGATTCCTTCTACCACCACACTGTGCGTTTGTAAAAATACCGTTATACTCCAAACACCAGGTTAAACAAACATTAACCATCTTCTCCATCAACTTACAGAGCGATGACGTAAGAGAAATGGGTCTATAATGTAAGGGATTTAGCCCACTTTTTCCCCGCTTCAAGAGAGGCACGACAGTAGCTTCTCGCCAGGAAGCTAGGAATTCACCTCTGGTCCAAAGCGAATTAAATACCGCTAACAAAACGCGAAGCACGCGACGCGGCAGATGCTTAAGCATATCGTTGTGACCAGTGTCCGGGCCTTCTGACACGCTGCGAAGCCTGGCGATCGCCGATTCCAACTCCACCAGCGTGAAAGGGTCATTATATGAACGCAATTCACTCGTTGAGAAGTCCACTGCAGATTGTTCACATCGCGTTCTGTGCCGCACAAACTGTGGGTTTGTGTTACCACCTACGCTGCGTTGGGCCAGGGCCCGAGCAACCTCATTCGCGACATCCAACGGGCGCGTCACAGCCTGGCCGTTAACACACAGCACCGGCAGAGCTATGGGTGAAAACTGACCCGAAATACGCTTGATTCGGGCCCAAATCTGGGATGTCGGCGTAAACCGGTTCAGCGTGCTCACGTACGCGCGCCAGGAAGCACGCTTCGCCTCGCTTACAATGCGCCGAGCTAAGGCTCTCGCTTTCTTGAAGGCTATGAGGTTTTCTATACTGCTTCTGGCGTCAAAGGCCCGAAACGCACGTTTACTCGCGCGGATGGCGCTCCGACACTCCTCCGTCCACCACGGAACAGGAGTGCGTCGGGGAGCGCCAGACGTGCGTGGGATACAACTGTTGGCACACTCTAAAAGTCTGTGAGTAAAATCCTCAATAGAGGGTACCGTCCTCTCAGGCCCAGTTACAAACGATTCGTCGAGCCGAGTCCCAAATTCGCCCCAGCCCGCTGTCTTAAAATTCCACCGTTGTGGTCTAACACTCAACGTTCCACCTCCCTTAAACCGGACCCACACTGGGAAGTGGTCACTCCCCATGGGGTCATCTCCGACACTCCACTCCAGGTGTTGGACGAGCTGGGGACTGGGGAGGCTTAAGTCTAGCGCTGACGTCTGACCGGATGGCATTGTAAAATGCGTACGAATTCCTGTGTTAAAAAACATAGTGAAGCACCGTGGATAAAATTCTCACACAGCCCCCCACGAGTATTGGTGACGTCACAACCCCATGCGGTGTGACGCGCATTAAAATCGCCTAGGAGAAGAAGTGGTGAAGGCAGTTCAGCAAGCAGACATCTAAGGTGCGCCAACGGAAAAGCGATGCCTAGTGGAAGGCAAAGTGAGCAAACAGTGATGTGACGATGTTTAAAAAAAGCCGCACGGCCACAGCCTGAAGTGTGGGCCGCAAGCTCAACCTCCTCGCTGGCACGCTATGGTGAACCGCTAGGAGGACGCCACCGTGAGCAATGCTCTCTGTCAACACGTCGTTGCGAAACATCGCATATCCTTTCAAAGAGCAGAAATACTCAGACGCTAGCTTGGTCTCCTGCAAAGCCACGGCTGCAGGAGAGACCCTGCTGACGACAGCCTGGAGATCGAGGGCGTTCGCCCTTACTCCTCTACAGTTCCACTGTAAAAACGCCTGTAAAAGGGCGCATTAAAAAAGCGGTAAGACGTGAAAAGCTAAAACAAGTCCCGGCTTAAAGAAACTCGGCTGCGCCAGTTGTATGTCCAGACGCCTCAGGCCGAGAGCTTCGGCTTAACTCCGGAGGGCCGTGCCCCACCCTGAGACGAATTCTTGGGCTACCTCCGTCAGATGGAGAAGGGGGGCACGGCTGGGGCACGTTTTACGCCAGCGTAACCAGCCCGGGGTGGAGGCGGGGGAGGGCCCATCGGTGGGCCTCCACCGGGGTTCGAGGCACCAGCGGGGGCCTCCGCCGGCTTCCGTGGCGATGGAGTGCTGTTTCGGGGGACGGGCTCTTTGTTTGCCCCGGACAGGCGGCTTGCCGCCTTAGCGCGTTCCAGTTCGGCCAAACGCGCTCGCTTGGCCTCGCGGGCGCGCCTGTCAGCTTCCTGACGTTCCAGCGTCTCTGCCACACGCTCACAGGCACTGGCAAGAGGTGTCTGTGGCAAAGGGACCGATTGGGTCGCAGACGAAAGCAAAGCCGGCGGCGCGCGGGGACTCCGACCACGCCGAGCCGTCGTCCAACCGTCGCCCGCTGGTGATCCGGCGCGCGCCGAGGAGGCCAGCGGTGCGACGTCCGACTGCTCGATCGGCGGAGAGGGAGCTTGGGGTGCCGGCTGGGAGTCGGGCGTTCGGACCGAGGGAACAACCGACAGGCCAAACGACCTCCGAAGTCCCACGAACTGAACGGCAGTCATGTGCTCAATGGCATTACTTTGTGGGAACAAAGTTTTCACTTTGGACGCATACGATGTTTTTGGATGACTGTCGTTGTAAAGTTCACGAGCTTCACGAAAAGATACATTTCTACAGGTTTTGATCGATATAGTCTCTTTTTCTTTCGCGTAGGCCGGACATTTACGGTCGTATGTCGTGTGTGGGATTTGGTCCTTACCGCAGTTGACGCAATTGGGTTCAGCAGAGGTGCAAACCTCGCTCGTGTGCTCGAATGATGCACATTTACCACATGCTGGGCGGTTACGACAGTGGAGCTTGGTATGGCCGAATTGCTGGCACTGGTAGCACCGCATGGGGTTAGGCACATAAGGGCAAACCTTCACCCGAACATATCCAACGCGTATCTCGGCCGGCAAATCGGTGAAGCTAAACGTCAGAATGAGGTTGTTGGTGGGCAGCAGCTCTCCTCCCCGTCTGACGAGAATCCTGCGATCGCTCGCCACACCAAACTCTGAGAGTTCTTCGACTATCTCGTCCTCGGCGACGTCTTGGAGATCGAAACAATTAACTACGCCCATGGAGGGATTTTTGGTTTTATGTGGTGTTACTGACAGTGACACTGTCTTTTCGTGCTTGTCAGTCTCATCCCGAACAGTAAACGTAAATTCCTTGGCTGCCATGGCCCTGGTTGCCTCCAGACCACTAGCGAACTCTACTTCTATTTTCCCATCCCGGAGCTTGTCACATCTTATAATTTTTCGAAACCTGTCGCAGCCGTTCCGCCTCTGGAACGGTGACAGGGAAGCCAGTTTAATCTCTTCACTACCGAAGATCAGGATCCGTGGACCAGGGGGCGCAGATTCCTCTCTGTACTCTGGGGTTATCGAGGTCCGTCCCCCTTTCGGAGGACGGGTGTTTTTAAGGTGAGAAGACGCCACAAAGGGTGGTTTTCACTTCGGCACCGGGGCTCCCCACCCACCTCGGAGCCCAACAGGGGGACACTCCCCCGGGAGGTGGTCACCGCCAGGGCTAGCTATACGGGGCGAACGACGCCTCCCACACGGCCAGGTGTAACCGGGGAGACCCCTCCCCGTCCTGACCGTGGTTCAGCGCCGCCGCCCCTTGACCCCTTAAGCCTCTGTGCGCGGCCAGGCGCCCCAAGCGGAAACCCGCAAGGAGCACCCAACCGCAACGCGAGTGACAGGCCGCTAGACACATGTGGGGCTCCACGGGCCCCCCACGCCCCCGGATATTCTGGCCAAAGTGGAGTGTTGGGACGCGCCGTGACTGACCCGCGCGACGCGCCCCTCAGCCACCAGGATCCGATCAACCCGGGGACGTGGGCGAGGGGGCACGGCGACCCCAATCAAACGAGGATGAGGAGTGGTGATAGGGCCGGATGCGGGAGTGCGGCTAATGTGGAAGGAGCGGGCGGGACAAGGAGCAGGAGCTCACGTACCGGCAGGGTCGCTACGCCCTGAGAGGAACAGCCTGCGCTGTCCAACCGTTACCGGAGCTGGGACCCGAGGGGGCGCTAGTCCCCTACACCGGCCGAAGCTGGTGCCCCTGCGGGGCTGGGACCCGAGGGGGCGCTAGTTCCCTATACCGGCCGAAGCCGGTGCCCCTGCGGGTACAAAACAGGAAGCACAAACTCTGTCAGGCAAAATAATTGTTTAGTAAACACACTATGAATTCAAAGATGCTTGCATTTAAGGTTAAATACATTGCATCACTCATATAAACAGTGCTAAGAGCTACCAAACATAGCCAATTATGTCTTCATTTGTGAAACCATGTAAGGTTTACATTACTGACATTTAATCCAACCCCACAGGGCAAGCAACTGTGGAAGAACTGTCATGCAGCCATGGCAAAGGCAAAACAATATAACTTAGCTACCTTTCTTATTTATTTCACACCAATGTAGTAAAGTACATAAATACAGAGAAACATGGTTTCTCAAAATGGGTATGTAGGCACCTGGCTGATAGAAAATGATGGCATTGACACCTAAAATATGCCAACAAATATGTCTCTCCCAATTTCTTCTCAAAGTGGGTGGGAGAGGGTAGGAGGAGGCTGAGGAGGCTAGGAGGAGGCCCTTAACTGAATATGAAACTACACCCAGGCAACAGGCCATAAAAATGCATGCTGCACCAAACATTTAAATGGCACTTTCACCATATGTCAGCTTGCAAGCAATTGCAAGTTTTAACATGATTTCTCTGAGGCAGACGTAGGGCGTGACTTCTAATTTTGGCAGTTTACAAAAGTAGGCAACATTGATTGAATTGGACTAAAGGGGCACCATGTGTTCCAATATACAAAACTGGCAACATGATGCAGAATGAGCAAACTGATGGTAAATCATGTTTTTGGGCAAGTAAGATTGCCAAAACATGCCCCAAGTGGCAGTTTACTATCTAATTTGGGTACAGCTTCTGTCTGCCTGAAGCATCTTATTGGCAAATGTTCCCCGGCTGGCAACTTTGCCATGCCAATTTCAGAGCATGGTGAGCCACTGTGTCTGTTCCCATTACTCCTCCAAAAAAGATGAGATAAGTTTGGAGGAGGTTGGGGAACATTGAACTCTGCTACAAAAATAGCTTTGGAGGAGTTATCAGCTGTCTGTTCACAGCCCAGCCAAACAGTTCTGCACAATGACAGTAAAACTGGAGTCTGTGACAAGTCACACCAATCCTATATTTCTAATATGAGATCAAAAAATGTGAGCCCAAAAAGTATCTGGATGAATTGCATAACAAACCCATACCACAACCTTCTCCTCCTCCAAAACCACCCTTCATTTCAGAGGATGGAGGAGGTTAGCTGCAAGCTCGGAGGAGCTTCAAGATTGAAGGAGTCACATGGATGATGAGATGAGTTTGGAGGAGCTTTGAGGATATTAGGCGAGGTTACAGGAATAGCAAGAACAGGCCCACCAGTGTAGGTGTACTTTGCTACCTAATGCTAGAAAAAATCATTGTACACCATTCGTCGTGTTTAAGGCGGAACACATCGTAAATAATCTCAGAACAGGCAGAATCATGCCTTCACCAACCTTCCTACCTTCAAATTTTAATGAATATGATAGCGAGCTCCCGAGGGCCGCACGTACCACACTGCACCGCCTCGACTCCCCAGCGCCGTTTCTGCGTTGTTGCGTAATTGCAATATTTCTGCTTATCAAGAACCATAAAAAATGTATGGGACCAAGGTAACAATAATAATGCAATGAAAATCATTTATCGCATTTAGGTATGTTTATGAAACACACAGGCCAGAATAGTCCAGAACATATCCTAAACTAGCCTATCCTAACCTAACCTAATGTAACCTAACCTTGCCTTACCTTACCTTACCTAACCAAATCTAACCTAACTGAACTAAACCAAACCTAACCTAACCTAACCAAGAATAGACCAGAACCCAAGCTAAGCTAAGCTAAGCTAAGCTAAGCTAACCCAACCTAACCTAACCTAGCCTCACCTGACCTGACCTGACCTAACCCAACCCAACCCAACCCACTGAACCAAACTGAACCTAACCTCCCCACCCTATATCCCCTTCAACCCAGCATCCCATTGGCATCCATGTTCCATGCCATATATAGGTACTGTATAGTGAGCTTTTATATAGCCACCATGTTCTCATTTTGCTTTACATTCCCCACCCAATCCCCCTGCAACCCACCATCCCCCTGGCGTAAAGGACAAAACTTCACGGATTCTTGCTACCTTGGCCGGGTAATTTTTATGGTTCTTGATGCTGCTTGATGCCCAGTAACGTTGTGACCGTGCACAATAATGGCGCCAGTGTCGCGGCTGCCGTGTGTGTGCACAGCGCTCGGGAGCTCGCCATCATAATTATAAAAAATTCAAGGGTAAGAGCATGAATCTACCTGTTTCGTGATTATTTATGATATGTCCCGCCTTAGACACAACAAATGGTGTACAATTTTTTTAATGTTAGGTAGGGAGGTAAACCCTGACCGGCCCACTATTGAAAGGAATCCATAATGTGCAACAGTAATTTTGAGGAAGGAAGCTCTGAAAACATTGTAATCACACAAAATAATTGGAACATTCCGCAATTCCGCAAGGAACATCAAAAAGGCACATGCAAGTTCATCAGCAAGGAACATGTAGGCAATTCTGACGCAGTGAGTTTGCGCAGTGAGAATAGCAAACGAGGTCACCGTCACACCCATAAATCCAAAAAATAAGCACACGTACTGGCACAGACCAACGCCATCCTCTCGAACGCTGTGTGTTGCGACGTTCAAATGCTGCCCACTTTCCAAGTGCAGCGCCCCCTCAAACACCACGCGTCCTCGCCCGGTCACGCTTGCGAAAAAAGCCGGCAATGTGCAAGCAACAATTTGCTGTGCTCTGAGGTAAGTGATAATAAGTTTTAAGATCTTGGAATCTAGAAAAATTCATAAATGCGCAACTGATTGATTAAAACTTATATTTGTATAAACATCTTTCATCTATCATTAATTATTGGAAATAATGTACTTATGAGATTTCAGAAGTTGGCTACTGCACATTTACTGTTATGGCGCACCTAATGCAAACATGAGCGACTGGCCCGATTTCTGACCTGCGTGGAGTGATTCAGCAAGGTTTCACACGACAGGCGTTGGGGTAGGTGGATGTCAAGGAGGGGTTTGAGCCTGACGGTGTGGGTATTGCCCATCAATTTGTAGCACGTGTCATGATTTTGTGTTCTTCAAATCATGTACTTTTGGTTGGAAACAAAGAGGAGGAAGAGGTGCATGTCTCTTAAAAAGTATCAGTCTTCATTTCAGTTCTGTCGTTTATTACGTTATGTGCTCATTTGCTCGAAATGTACCTCAACGACTGAAGGATGCCAATCTAAATGCCTGACAATGTTCCACAAGACTTGTGGGAAAGTGCTTGCCTGCCCTGTTTAAGTATCCATATTTGCACTGTTTTTAGTGACACTTCTAGTGAAATTCCATCTATATATGCTGCAGTTAATGATATAAATATTGTGCATAAGCCCAGCCAGGTGGGAACCATGTCTATGTGCTTTTTATTGGTCAGGCATCACTCTCCACATGATCCCAAATTGAGCTGGAGCTGCAAGATAATTATCATATGCATATTATGTGGGGAAGTGTTTTAGCTGTGTCAAGCTTTATGCATTGTATCATGGAAGTTCAAGCTGTTTAAAATACCAAATTGTGCATCCAACCATATTGGCATGTCATGATGTTCTGAAGCATACTTAGTACAAAGTAACCACCTAGAGCTGATGTAATGCTAACATATAGGCACCAGATCATGCACTCAAGCATACTGGATGCAAGCGTATTACCCAAGGTTGATTAATTATGGCAGCTAAAATACTCATGATAACATTAATGCAGAACATAAAATACCCAAAGATCAGCAGCATTGAATATCTATTGTTAAGCTTTTGTTTAGTTGTTAAACAATGTAAAAGTTGCTGGCATGTTAGGGAAGGTAATTTCTGGTCTACTCATGAAGGTTAGGTTCATGCATGCAGTCCCAAGTTAGGCATGGAGTTGTGCCATCTTGGGCTGGCTTGCTTGATTTTTCTGGATTGAAGCAAATTGCTTAAGCAATTTATTACAAGCTGTGCCTGAGTTAGATACAATATTTAATAGAAGCTGGAATGTGTGGTGACTATGCACTGCACAATTAAGAAACCATAGATGCATTTGGGAGCTGCAGCAAAGTATATCAACACTGTGTTTAATGCAGTTCAGGCAAATGCCATGGATGTGTTGTGTGCATTAAATATATAAGAGCAAATTATCAACAGCTTCTTGTTTTTGGAGTTTCATAATTGAGGTAACTGTAAAAATACATCAGACATTTGTTAAGTAACACACACCCAAAACTGCACACTTCCTTGCTGAAATGTGAGTGATTCATCCCCAAAGCATTCAACCTTTTCTATCCCCAGCTAGTTAATCATTTATGCCCTATTTCTGCTCCAGGCCATGTCAAAATCAGCTGATATACCAATGGAAGATGATGACGCCGGTGCTACCGGGCTGGGGTCTGCCCTGAGGAAGTTTGAGGACCTGCCAGAAGTCAGATGCCTGATCGAGGAGATACCCGAGATCTACAGAGACACAGCACTGATTGAGTCCCGTCTCCAGCGCTTCACGACTATCCTCGACTACTACCAGGAGCAGCCACAGCTGCTTGACAAGGACCTCGACTCGCTGCTCGCTACGCTGTTTGGTCATCTGGATCACTTCGACGCCTCGGATGAACTGATCCATCTCACGTTCAAGTACATGGTGCTGATTGTAAAGCTTCGCGGCCCCAAGACTATGGCGCGTCACATGCCACATGAGGTAGGTAGGACGTGTCATGTTGTTGTCACGACGCGCCCGACGGGAAGGACGGGCACCATGGGCAAGCAAACCCAGTACCTCTGGTTTCCCAGACGCACGTCTTGGCCGGCGCACCGGCACACTGCGGATACCCTATGGGACGTGTTGTGATCTGCTGTGAGACAGACCAGGTATCCTGAGCATGCATTGGCTCACCTTCATATGATTGTCTTTCAGCCCATTTCTACTGGTTTATGTAATTGAAAGCAGTGTGGTGCACTAATAGGCTTTTAGAAGGCATTCATTTTCGAACATCGCAGTTTATGGATCATGTAACGTTTTTGGTCAACAGTGTGCTCAAGCCTTTGTTTGTTTGTTTGTACTCATGTTAGCATTGCGATTTTCAGCTCGCTGTCCTACGCCATTCGCATCTGGAAATTGTGCTGTCCATGCCACCAGTCGCCTAGAAAGCACAATAGTTGCCTCAAATCGCGCTCCGCCCACCAGCTATCGCTGCCCCCCCCCCCCCCCCCCCGCCCCGTAAAGGTAGCCTCTCGATTCCTCTGCGTCCCCGCAGGGGCACCGGGTTTGGCCGGTGTAGGGGACTAGCGCCCCCTCGGGTCCCAGCTCCGGTAACGGGTGGACAGCGCAAGCTGTTCCTCTCAGGGCGTGGCGACCCTGCCGGTACGTGAGCTCCCGCTCCTTGTCCCTCCCGCTCCCCTCCCATCGTCCGTTTTCCCGCATCCGGCCCACTCGTCATTCCTAATCCTTGTTTTATCGATTTTCACGTGGTGCGGGTCATTCACGGGGCGTCCCAACACTCCACTTTGGCTAGAATATCGGGGGCGTGGTGCGCCCTTGGGGCCGCCACGAGTCTAGCGGCTTGTCGCTCCGGGGAGCCCCGGTGCCGAAATTAAGAACAACACTGCATGGCATCTACAAACCCCAAAAACACCCGCCCCCCGAGAGGGGGACGGACTGCGATGAGTTTAGGGCGCAGCGAGGGGTCAGTTCCACCTGCCCCACGCGTTCCTGTCTTCCAGAGTGATGTGAAGAACCTAGCATCGCTTTCACTGTTTCAGCACCGAAACGGATGCGATAGGTTGGGAAAAGTCACCCGCTGTGATAAGCTGGGAGATGGCGCGGTCGAGGTAGAGTTCGCAAACGGTACCGATGCGACTCGAGCCATGACAGCCACTGAATTTGTTTACGCCGCGAGAACCGAGGGTGGAAAACGAGACGTAAGCGTGCCGGTCACGGTCACACCGCACCACACGAAAAATTTATCAAAAGGCATCATAAGCTGCTATGACCTTCGTGACGTCAGCGAGGAGGAAATCATCGAAGAGTTGGGAATGTTTGGGGTAACCGCAGCGCGCAGGATCACGACCAGGAGGGGTGATGACCAAATCCCTACAAACAACGTTATATTGACATTTAACCGGCCTGATCTACCTTCAGATATCCGCATTGGCTACGCCGTTGTCAAAGTCAGAGTCTTCGTTCCGGATCTGATGCGATGTTTTCAATGCCAGCGCTTTGGTCATACAAAACCACACTGCCGCAATCGAGCTGTCTGTGGGAAGTGTGCATATTTCGAGCATTCGGGAGACCAGTGTACTTCTGTGCAGCCCTGGTGTACTGTGGCGCGGGGCAGTTACCGCACACAACTTTCGATCGAAGTTATCCAGTCTTCATGAAGGAAAAGGAATGGTGCGACTCAAAACTTCAAAGAACATCTCTTTCCGCGAGGCGCGTGAACAGTATGAGGCCATTCACCCCGAAGGATCTTATGCCGAGAAATCCAAAACCTCTATACTACAGTCCACCAGCATCAGTCACATGCCAGCGGTCCAACTCATCGCGCTCCTGCGATCCTTCTCTGTGGTGCCGGCGGGACGGGTGACTCCCGCTCAGTCAGATCCTCCGGGTCCTTCAGCTGCGTCCTGTCCGACCAACGCTGTGTCTCCGGCCCCTCAGGTGTCGTCGGGGTCGCTAGCGGGGGAGGAGGAGGGGTGGACGGTGGTCAAGCGCGGCCGTGGTCCGCGGGCTCGGCCGTCCTCGCCGTCTGGCTTTCCGCTGCCCTCGTCGCCTCTGGCGACACTGGCGAGTGCGTGTGGACGGGCAGTGGAAACGATGGAACGGCACGAGGCAGACAGGCGCCCCCGCGGCACCAAGCGGGCCCGCTTGGCCGAGTTGGAGAGGGCTAAGGCGGCCAATCGTTTGTCCGGTGCAAGCAAGGAGTCCGTCCCTCGCAGTGATACACCTTCTCCGAGAAGGCCAGTGGAGGCCCCCGCTGACCCCCAGACGCACGGTAGAGGCCCGCCGATGGGCCCTCCCCCGCCGCCACCCCGGACTGGGTACGCTGGCGTGAAACGAGCCCCGGCCGGCCCTCCGTCTCCATCTGACGGAGGGAGCCCCAGGATTCGTCCCAGAGTGGGGCACGTTCCTGCAGAATCGAGCCGTGGGTCTCAGTCTGAAACGTCTGCTCCTGCAACTAGCGCAGCCCAGTTCTTTAAGGACGTGTCCGGTTTTTGTATGTGACCTCCAACCGCCTTTTTAACACGCCCCCTTTACAAATGTTTTGCAGTGGAACTGTGGAGGAATAAGGGCGAATGCCCTCGACCTCCAGGTTGTCGTCAGCAAGCACTGTCCTGCAGCTGTAGCGCTGCAAGAAACCAAGCTGGCTTCTAGTCACCACTGAACGCTGAAGGGCTGCGGCCTGTTTCGGCGACGATGTGTTAACCGACGGTATTGCACACGGCGGTGCCCTTGCAGTCCACCACAGCGTACCAGCCAGGAGGTTGAACCTGCGGTCTACGCTACAGGCTGTAGCCGCATGCCTACATTTTAATCACCGTTACATCATGGTGTATTCCTTGTATCTTCCACCTGGCGTCGCTTTTTCATTGGAAGAGATGAAATGTTTAGTGCATGAGTTGCCTTCACCATGTCTTCTTTTAGGCGACTTCAGTGCTCATCACACTGCGTGGGGCTGTGATAGCACGAACACCCGTGGAAGGATTTGCGAACGTTTTATCCATGACTTGTCACTGTGTATTTTAAACACAGAGATTCGTACTCATTTCACACTTCCGTCTGGTCAGACTTCCGCGCTTGACTTAAGTCTTGTTAGTCCCGAGCTGGTGGAGAGCGTCGAGTGGTCTGTGGCAGATGATCCAATGGGCAGCGATCACTTCCCAGTGTGGCTTCGATTCCAGATAAGGGGAACGTTGGGTGTAAGACCACGACATTGACATTTAAAAAAGACTGACTGGGGTGAGTTTGAGGCTCGACTGGAGACATTGTGTCAAACCGGAGGTGTGAGGGCGACACCCTCTATCGAGGATTTTACTCACCGACTTCTAGATTGCGCTAGCGATTTCATCCCGCGCACTTCTGGATTTCCCCGTCGCACTCCTGTGGCGTGGTGGACAGAGAAGTGTCGTGACGCAATTCGCGCTCGCAAACGTGCTTTCCGAGCCTTTGACGCCAGAAGAAGCCTGGAGAGCTCAGTAGCTTTTAAGAAAGCGAGAGCTTTCGCCCGTCGTACTATAAAAGAAGTGAAACGTGAATCCTGGCGTGTGTATGTAAGCACGCTTAACCGGTTCACGCCAACTTCGCAGGTTTGGGCTCGCATCAAACGTATCTCCGGGCAGCTGTCATCTGTGCCACTTCCTGTGCTACATTTTAACAGCCAGGTGGTGACTCATCCGTTGGATGTGGCTAACGAGATCGCCCGAGCACTCTCCCATCGTAGCGAAGGTGCAAACACGAGCCCACAGCTCTTGCAGCAAAGAGCACAATGCGAAAAAATCGTGGTGGACTTTTTCACAAGGCAACCACGGGCGTACGGGCCCTTCACGTTGTTGGATTTGGAGTCGGCAATCGCGAAGCTTCGTAATGTATCGGAAGGTCCTGATGACATCCACAAGGAGATGCTCAGACATCTGCCACCGTGTGCACGTCGTGTACTATTGGCGGCCTTCAATAGGGTGTGGTCAAGTGGCGAATTCCCTCCGGCCTGGCGGGAAGCTGTTGTAGTGCCTATTCTAAAACCGGGAAAGGGTGGGATGAACTTTCTTCATTACCGACCCATTTCACTGACGTCGTCGCTGTCGAAGCTCATGGAAAGGATGATAAACGTTCGACTCGCTTGGTTTTTGGAAAACAACGATATTTTTGGCAGCTCGCAGTGCGGGTTTAGGAAAAACCATAGTACGGTGGACCACCTTTTAGCTTTGGACACTACGGTTCAAGGTTTTTCAAGAGAAAGCACATATGGGGACAGTGTTCCTTGACATTGAAGCCGCCTGTGACACCACATGGCGCCATGGTACTCTTCAAAGGCTTTTTAAATATGGTATGCGTGGTCATATGGGTACTTTTCTCCAAAGGTTTTTAGCCAAACGATGTTTCCGTGTCCGGGTCGACAACGTCCTCTCCGATAGGTACCAACAAATGAGCGACGTGCCCCCGGGCGGCGTGTTGAGTGTAGCGCTGTTCGCAGTTATGATAAATTATATTTGTGATGTGCTGCCCCAATCGGTCGGACGTGCACTTTTTGTTGACGATTTTACTATTTGGACCAGTGCGGCGAGTTCACCAGCGATGGAGCGACGTCTCCAGCGGGCTGTGGACCGCGTTGAAAGATGGGGTGACATGAACGGATTTCGTTTCTCAGGCGACAAGACCATTGCGATGCATTTTTTGTCGTCGCCAGCGATGTGATGGCCTGAGCATCCGGTTATATGGTCGCTCTATTCCAAATAAGGCCGTGGCCAGTCACCTTGGGATACGCTGACCGCCGCCTTACATATCATGCACATCTTACAATGTTACGCGATCGCTGCTTTAAATCTCTCAACATACTGAAGTGTGTGTCTCGCACATCATATGGGGCAGACGGAAGCACGCTTATGCTTTTATATCGTTCACTCGTCCGCTCCAAACTGGATTATGTATGCTTTGTGCATGATGATGCGCCTGAATCCAACAAGCGTGTTCTTGACACCGTCCACGATACTGTCATTCGTATTGTTACTGGGGCGTTCTGCACATCACCTTCCGTCAGCCTTTTAACGGAGGCACACGGGCCACCACTTTCGACAAGGAGGAAAATGCTCGGCATACGTTATGCGTTGAAGCTGCGGCAGTTCCCATTTCATCCGACATATTCTGCAGTATTTTCTCGGTTTGCCGTAAGTTCTCTTCGTCATGGGCCGCAGCATTACATTTTAACTCTTGGTTTCCGAATTAGAGCCTTATGGCTCGAGAGCGGAATTCCTCTTCGAGGTGTAAAGCAAGTAAGCCACCCTGCTTCTCCTTGGCAAGTGACTATACCTTCCATTGACACCTCGCTTGCTTAAATTATGAAAAAAGACGTCACACCACACCTAATGAGATCCAGGGCAATTGAGCTTCTGTCGTGTTATGAAGGATACACTCTGACGTACACAGACGGATCCAAGACCTCGGATGGCGTGGGTTGTGCTTTCGTCAGCGGTTCCGTCATTCGATCGTTCTCGTTACCCACTTACCGGCCCACTCGTCAGTTTTCACAGCGGAATTAATTGCGATTACCAAGGCGATATGTTTCATAGAAGTTGGTGAAAAATCTTCACACGCCATTGTTACAGATTCAGTGAGCAGTCTCTCTGCACTGAAGTCTTTTTATCCATCATATCCCCTTATACAGGACATTTTATCACGCCTGACACGGTTGAATCGGGTTTGAAAGAGAGTTGCCCTGTGTTGGATCCCCAGTGACGTCGGTATCGTGGGCAACGAGTTGGCTGCTGCTGCTGCTAAGCGAGCAGCGGTGGCACCATATACCCGGTTTTTGCCTGTCCCTGCGAGATATTTCTACTTCTCTTTCTAGTCAAGACCTTCCTGAGAAGCAAATTGCAGCGTTGTTGGGACCAGGTGGGCGGCAATAAGCTCGGGGCGATAAAAACCGAGTTGGGCTTGTGGTCGTCATGCTCTCGCAGTGTGCAGTGCGAAGAAGTGGCTTTATGCAGGTTGCGTATTGGGCATACGTATGCCACCCACGGCCATCTGCTGCATGGAGCCGACAGACCCCTATGCCAGCGGTGTGGTGCCGTTCTCACCATCCACCATGTCATTGTATCATGTCCGTGCTTCATCGAAGAACGACGACGTCACTTTGGTCCGCAGGCTTCGCCCCTGACGATTAGCGATGTGCTCGGGGACAATTCCTCCTTTATTGATTTCAAACAACTCTTTTCGTTCTTAAAAGATGCTGATTTTCAAGTCATTTTCGCACCATACTAATTAAGTAAAAGCATCGTTATGGGCGCAATATGACCCTTGTAGTCGACGCGCCCGAAAACACCAATGAACAACAGCAAAAAAGCTTCCACTGCGTGTCCCGCAGGTGGCCGACGTGGAGCGCGTGCTGCAGTACCTAGAGCGACAGGACCCAGATGACCACCACAACTGGGAGACGCGCTACGTCCTGCTGCTCTGGCTCTCCATCCTCGTCATCATCCCCTTCACCATGTCCTCGTTCGACGACGGCAGTCATGCGCCCATCACAGAACGGTGAGGTGGTGGTCGGCAGCTACCATATGCAATAGCTGGAGGATATGTCGTAGACGTTTATCTGTGTTGATAGGGCTTGTGGTTTCTAGAAATTTTTATTTGTATGGCGAGTTAGTGATGTCTCATTCTGCTCGCAGATGCTGATTTGTGCCCACACCTGTGCTGCTTTTGCAAACGGGGTGCTATGATCTTGCTGAAATATGCATACCTTTACACAGCTGTCAGTGCATAGCACAGCACATAAAATCTTCAGTAGGGTTATATGTAGGAATTGCATGCATGCAGCATTTCATTTTTCAAATGGTTCTGGCGCTCTCGCTCTGGCCGCTTTCACGGCAGTGCTGTCAGTTGATAGACGACAACAAATCCAGTCACTGGCGTCAACAGGCATTTCCATCCCTGTCAATATTCGAGGACTCACGATGGTGATGAAGGATACGGCTGTGTTCCATCTGATGACGTGGAAGGCCGTGATCCTGGGACCTGGCCAGGGTGAGCGGCGGTATCGTGTCGACGACACCACCGACCTGGTTGCTATCTGTGACCTTGAATGACCTGCCCTTCGGCCAACCCGTGACCTGATCGTGGTGACCTTTGCCGCATCATGGCGATGACGTGGCGGTACCTGGGCGCCATCTCTGACCCTTAATGACCTGCTCTCGGTGCCCCGTGACCTGACCTCGACAGGATCATGGTGGTGACGCGGCGGCACCTGGGCGCCAGGTCTGACCCTACCTTCGGGTACCTCGTGACTTGACCTCAGTGGCATCAAGGCGGTGAGACTGCGGGACCTGGGCGCCATCTCTGACCCTTAATGACCTGCTCTCGGTGCCCCGTGACCTGACCTCAACAGGATCATGGTGGTGACGCGGCGGCACCTGGGCGCCAAGTCTGACCCTTAGTGACCTATCTTCGGTTACCTCGTGACTTGACCTCAGTGGCATCAAGGCGGTGAGGCTGCGGGACCTGGGCGCCATCTCTGACCCTTAATGACCTGCTCTCGGTGACCCCGTGGCCTGACCTCGGCAGGATCGTCACGGTGGGGTGCCGGTAGTGTAGTGGTTAAGGCGTCTGCGTTGACCACTGCGCGTCTGGGAAACCAGAGGTACGGGGTTCGATTCCCCGCGGTGCCCGCCCTTCCTGCCAGGGTGAGAGGCAGGCGACGCCATATAGCCTCAGCAGCTGGGTGCGTCGTAAAGCCCCAATAACATGACACAGATCGTCACGGTGACGCGACGGTACCTGGGGCCAACTCTGACCCGTAATGACCTGCTCTCGGTGACCTCCGCAGCATCAGGGCGGAGACGCAGCGGTACCTGGGCGGCATCTCTAACTCTTGATGGCCTGCTCTCGATGACCCTGCGACCTGACCTCCGCAGCATTATGGCGGTGACGCGGCAGTTCTTGGGCGCCATCGACAAGTCACGGGACGCGGCGGCGCTGGTGGCGTCCAAGTTCGTCACGCGCCCGGATAACGTGAAGCGATATCTCCCACGGCTGGTCGACTGGACCTTGACGGTGAACACTTAACCATGAGGGAGAAACGTGAAGTGGTGTTCGTCAGGTGCAGTCCTCAGGAGGATCCTATGCGGTACTGGTGTGCCATCCCTGGCCCTTAATTACCCGCTTCTCAGTGATTCCGTGACCTGAGCTCATGTGAGGGCGCCAGCCTCGCACGAACAATGCCAGGCTGGCACCCGTATCCTTGCAAGGTTGGATGTTTAAATATTGTTAGTGCGAGCTAAACCAATATACCGCGATAACGTGCTCAAGCTAGTGCTTGACAATGTTCATTTGTTATCAGTTGCGCTGATGCACATAACTGGTTAATGATGCGGTATTTAAAAAATGCATGGTTTTTATGCATGTCGTGTGACGGGAGTGACAAGATGCTGAAGTTTAGGTATTATGAGTAGGTATCGTCTGTTTCCCGTCTTTGTACCCTCATGATAGGTATAGGATTGACTTCTAAACCTCTGGTGAATAGATTAGCTGTGCTTGTCACAAACCTCACACAGCTGTCCCAGAGGATAATCTCAAACAATGGGGCTCGGTTAGAAACGCTCCATGCGCTCGACTATCCGCTAACGTGCTCGCGGCGCCTCTGCTGGGCTCGGTCCCCAGACGTGCGAGACGGCCTCCGCTCCGCTGTGCTCGCTGCTCGGCGCGCTGGGCTGTCTGGCAGCCGTGTTCAAGCACGGCAAGCGGGCCGACCTGCTGCCCATGGCGCCGAACGTGCTGCGCCGCCTGCTGGCCTCGGGCCGCCTGCAGCACAACACCACCCAGGTCCGCAAGCTGACTTTCAAGTCGGTCCAGCGTGTCGGTGAGTGGCAGGGGAGGTGAGGCGGCGGAGGAGGGTGAGGGGCCCGATCGGGGGGGGGGGGGGGGGAGGGGGTCGGTGAGAGGCAGCGATGTGTCTGGTCCGATGATCGTTTGTAGAACTAGTCTGGCTGGTTTGGCCGACAACATCTCCGAGACTGGGGTGCATTTTTACCTGTTAACTCCGCTGGCCGGATGCCTTCGGGGCTTGACGTGCCATCCATTTCAGGCACCCGTGAACAAAAGTGTGGCGTGAAAGACTTTAGGATGATGCGTGCCATAACAATCCAGTGGCCATATAAGCTTGCGATAGCGTTTAAGACTGCGATGGAGAATGTGCGTCAGGTCACGCATGTCGGCACCAGAGCCGCTGTTCCGCGTCCCTCCTGACGTGTACCTCGCCCTCCTCACCGGCAGGGCTGACGTTTCTGCCGGCGCGGGTGGCCAGCTGGCGGTACGACCGTGGCCAGCGCTCGCTGCTGGTGAGCTTTCAGCAAGGTGTGCCGGCCGAGCCGGTCCCGGCGCCGGCGCCGGCGCCGGCGCCCGCCGTCGGGCCTGAGCCCGAACACGACTACGACGTGCCCGAGGACATTGACGAGGTGCTCGAGGCCGTGCTGCAGGGACTCCGCGACAGGGACACGGTCGTCAGGTGTGTAGGCGGCCCTCCGACGCGGTGGGATGCAGATTACCGCACGCGGCGAGCGCCCGGAGCGACCCGCCGACGTGGTGGGGGATGCACATGACCGCACACGGGGAGCGACCCGCCGACGCGGTGGGATGCAGATGACCGCACGCGGCGAGCACCCGGAGCGACCCGCCGACGTGGTGGGATGCAGATGACCGCACGTGGGGGCGCCCGGAGCGACCCACCGACGTGGTGGGATGCAGATGACCGCACGTGGGGGCGCCCGGAGCGACCCACCGACGTGGTGGGATGCACATGACCCCACGCAGGGAGCCCCCGAAGCGAACCGCCACGCGGTGGGATGCAGATGACCGCGCACGGGGAGCCCCCGGGACGATCCGTGGACGCGGTGGAATGCAGACGACCGCGCGCGGGGAGCGACCGGAGCGACCCGCCGACGCGATGGGGTGTAGATGACCGCGCGCGAGGAACGCCCGGAACCGGAGACGCGCTGTGTGGTGCTCACTGCTTTGTGCGCGGTCGTCACCGAAGTCCCTTGGCGCGTGTTCGGATGTCGCCCGACGTGTCGCCGCCCTTCTCAGATGGTCGGCGGCGAAGGGCGTGGGCCGCATCACCAACCGGCTGCCGAAGACGCTGGCGGACGAGGTGCTGGACACGCTAATGGATCTCTTCACGCTGCGCGACAACATGGCGGCCTGGCATGGTGGCTGTCTGGCGCTGGCCGAGCTGGGTGGGTAGCGGGGGCGGACAGGCCGCGACTGTGGACGAGGTGCCTTGATTGCCGGAGGGGGGTCTTGTCACTTGTTTATCTGACCTGACCTGGCATAATATAAATGATATAACCAAAGCCACGAACGGTCTCGGAGATTATCCCAGGTCCTGCTGACGTGTCCTGACCTGACGTGACCTCGGCAAGCCGGCGTGGCCTGCGGGCCCCGCCGCAGCTACCAAAGATATCTCCGTCCTTCTGACCCGCCCTGCCCTCGGCAAGTCGGCACGGCCTGCTGACCCTGCCGCGGCTGCCGGAGGTGGTCCCTGCCCTTCTGACCTGATCTGACCTCGGCAGGTCGGCGCGGCCTGCTGACCCTGCCGCCGCTGGCGGAAGTGATCCCTGCCCTGACCTGCCCTGCCCTCAGCAGGTCGGCGCAGCCTGCTGACCCTGCCGCGGCTGCCAGAGGTGACCCCTGTCCTTCTGACCTGACATGACCTCGGCAGGTCGGCGCGGCCTGCTGACCCTGCCGCGGCTGTCGGAGGTGATCCCTGTGCTGCTGCGCGCGCTCGTCTATGATGAGCTGCAGGGCAACTATTCGGTGGGCGCGGCCGTACGCGACGCCGCCTGCTACGTGTGCTGGGCATTCGCGCGCGCCTACCACCCGGACCACTTCCGGCCGTACGCCCACCAGGTGGCGCCGGCGCTGCTCTGTGTGGCGCTCTTCGACCGCGAGGTATGTGATGGACACTGGGGAGGAGGGAGGGGAGGGGGGAGAGGTGTTTGGCGATGGGCGTTTGTGGTGTTGGGGGGACAATTGAGGACTCTGGAGGGGAATGACGACTCTGGCGAATGGCGGAATGATGAAGTGTAGCTGGATGTCTCTTTAGATCCAACGTAGGGATACGGTGGCGTCCTTTTTGTTTGCCACCTGGGCGTATAGGACAGGCGCAGAAATCCGACAGCAGACTGGGGCGTGGAAGATTACGGGTGAAGACGGGTTTGACATGCCGTAGGCCTTTACGCCATATTGATGCCATATCTGTTTTTGCATGGTGCCACTCAGCTATGCGAACTCGCTCGTTGTGACAAAACGTACCGGCGTATCTGTTCATAACGTAGCCGTACGCCCTCCCTCTCAGGTCAACTGCCGGCGCGCGGCCTCGGCCGCCTTCCAGGAGAACGTGGGCCGCCAGGGCACCTTCCCGCACGGCATCGAGATCATTACCACGGTCGACTACTTCGCCGTCGGCAACCGGGCTGCCTCCTTCACACAGCTGAGGTAGGGCGGGCCTGTCGACCGAAGGAGCGGCTCGTAGGCTGGGAGAGGCCAGCTGCTCGGGGGGCCACCGGAACGCTGTGAATAGCGACGTTTGAGACGTTTGCCTGATAGTGACATTTATCTTTTTTGTAGATGGGGGCAGGGATGTCACTGTTGATGGCTCAAGTGAGTGGAAATAATTCGTAATATAGAACTTTTTCTGTGTTTGTGAATCTATCTTCATTTAGTTTTCCTGGAGCTGGTCAAAATGGTGTTAGTATGTTAAATGTGCCCGACGGATTCAATTCTATCTGAACCATGTCTCACTAAGAGACGAAAATGCTATTGAGACAAAACAGAGATTGGTGTTCATGTTGATTATTGACCTACCTACCTGCTCAAATTCTTTTGAGAACAGTGCGTGTAAGCCCGTGATTCGACATCGATTACGAGAAAGAGTTACCGGGTCGCACTGGCAGCAGCTCCGTATTACAGCACATTCGTGGGCCAGTTCCCGGAGTACACTAAGCCGCTCATCTCCCACCTGTTGGAGAAGAAGATTAACCACTGGGACGGAGCCATTCGCGAGGTCACCGCCAAGGTCAGTCCCCGCCCGGCGGCCGGGCGTCACTCGCAGCTTCACCGGACGCCAGTCACTGATGTGCTGGCGTGGCGTCCGAGGGCGGTAACCCGCAGCGTGGGTCTAATGGTCGGCGACAACCGTGTGACATTTTCTGAGGCGCGCAAGTTTTGCCGCTTTCTGTTCGATAATTTTACGTGTTTAGCAACGCTCATGGCCAGTTAAAATGCGTGTCGTCTTTCGGACCACATGTTTTTTTTTCTCACGTTTGCGGCCGATGGGCCAGAAGTTTACGATCTGTCCTGGCGTGGGCAACGTTTGTTTGTTTATCGTGAGGCAACTGGGTGAATTAGCTCACCGAACTTGACCATGGCCTGTCGATACAGCTGCGTGTCCCATAACTCTACCCTGGAGCCGTGCCTTTCGACTAACCCGTCCGCTTCCCATGACCTGTCATACTCTGACCTCCGGCGTCGCCCGTGGCCAGGCGCTGCACAACCTCACGCCGTGCGACGTACACTACACGGCCGGCTACGTGATGGACATGCTGCGGCCGCACTGTCTCGGCATCGACCTGAACGCGCGACACGGCGCGTTGTTGGCTGTGGCTGAGGTCGTGCATGCCCTGGCCGAGCACGCCCGCCAGCACGGCCAGGACGTCACGGAACTGCTGGGTACGACGGCACCGGGACCGCGGCAGAGTGCGGCGGTGCGGTCAGACGGGGCCGCGCGGTTAGCGCAGGGTCGGGTTGGCTTCCCACTGTGCTGATGTGGTGGTGAGTGCAGTGGTACAGCGTTTCCTCCCGTCGTGGTACTCTTTCTGGGTTAAACGCCATCCCATTTTTTAGAAGAAATGAAACATGGACGGCAACGTGAACCGACCCAGATGCCTATCTGACGTCAAGTGCACAGAGGCTGTGCGACCCGTTGCACTGGCCGCTCCGCTTCCTCGGCGCCAGTCCTGGGTGCTGTCCCCCCTCCCTGCACACCACGCCGGACCGCTTCCTCGGCGCCAGTCCTGGGTGCCTCCCCGCACACCACGCCGGACCACTTCCTCGGCGCCAGTCCTGGGTGCCTCCCCGCACACCACGCCGCTCCGCTTCCTCGGCGCCAGTCCCGGGTGCTGTCCCCCCTCCCCGCACACCACGCCGCTCCGCTTCCTCGGCGCCAGTCCTGGGTGCTGTCCCCCTCCCCGCACACCACGCCGGACCGCTTCCTCGACGCCAGTCCCGGGTACTGTCCCCCCTCCCCGCACACCACGCCGGACCGCTTCCTCGGCGCCAGTTCCGGGTGCCTCCCCGCACAGCACGCCGGACCGCTTCCTCGGCGCCAGTCCTGGGTGCTGTCCCCCTCCCCGCACACCACGCCGGACCGCTTCCTCGGCGCCAGTTCCGGGTGCCTCCCCGCACAGCACGCCGGACCGCTTCCTCGGCGCCAGTCCTGGGTGCTGTCCCCCTCCCCGCACACCGCGCCGGACCGCTTCCTCGGCGCCAGTCCCGGGTGCTGTCCCCCCTCCCCGCACAGCACGCCGGACCGCTTCCTCGGCGCCAGTCCTGGGTGCGGGCCCCCTCCCCGCACACCGCGCCGGAGCGCTACCGCGGCCACTTACGGTGGCACGATCGCCTCCCGTCTGCAGACGCCGCCGCGCTGCAGTTCATCTCTGGCGTGTGCGACGAGCTGAACCGGCGCCAGATGCTGCGCGGCCTGGGCGGCGAGCTGATGCGACACGCCCTCTGCCACCTCGTCAGCAAGGCCTCCCTGGCCCAGTTGCCGCTCAAGAACACGCCCACTATCGGTGAGGGAAGGTGGCCGTAGGCATGCGTTTGCAGCTATTAGTACGCTTTGGTGTTTGTCATCCTCTTTTCAGGAATGCTTTTCAGTTGATCGTGCCAGAGCCACGCGTATTCGCGTGCACACTTGCTGGGATGACTGTGTTTACAGGTGAAGTGCAGATGTGTTGACGTGCGTGGCGGCCCTTTGTGCTATGTTTGACAACGGGTTGTTCAAGCGAGGCTGGCTGGAATAATGTAATCCATCGTGAGTACAGCTAAAGACAAAAATCGCACTTTACGTAGCTGGGTCATGCGTACATCTGAAAACCATTCCTGCCGACCTATCCAGGAAGTGAGCGAGCAAGTGCATCGTGTGGAGACACGGACCCGCAATTGGATAAATGGGTGTATCCCCGTCGATAGTACACTTTTCATGCCCTTGCTGAGTGCACGAACATTCAGGAACTTTGCTCCCCGGTTGCTAGAGTTCCGCTTTTCATATTGTCCGCTTGTTTCAAATAAGCTTTAACCTGTTATTTGTTTATATTTGTTAACAAATAGCCACATTTGCCGCCAATGCAACTCCTGGCCCGATGAACCGATGCGCAGGTAAAAGCACGAGTTTCAATTTTATTTTTCGTTTGATAGTTTTGTTGTGAACGAGTCACTGGGTCAAAATCTCAGGTAGTTAGCTGGTTAGGTGCGCTAATTGCCAAATTCTTTGTCGTGTTGCCCACTTAAGTTGTCCTTAAACTCACCGTGCCGTAAAATTACGATCTCTGTGTCGACGTCATCACGTATAAGTGATCATTCCACGACCCACTCGCGTTCCTCCGCCGCCCGTCTGCCAACTGGAGCTGCTCCTCCGAACCCAGTAGGGAGCGCGCGCCGCATTGTCCCCCGGTGAGTCATCAGCGGCCGTTGCTCGGCAGCCGCGGCACCCGGATTGACCGTGGACGGTCGGCCTTCCAGCAGTGCCGCACGGGGCCCTACCTCACTGTCATATCGACCGCCACTCACTGCCGCGTGCGCGGGGGCCTCGCAGCTGCACACGCTGCTGAGTCATGGGGATTCAGCCTTGTGACGTTTTTTATTGGCCAGTTCGTGGGCCGGCTTCTTTCCAAAGTGAGATGTATATCCCACACTACCGTGTGGAGTGGGGTTTGCTGGATTCAGCCCCTGAGCAGATTAGTGGGAATGGTGTCCGCTGATAAGTCCAGAAATAGCACGATTAATTGAAAATGTTTTTCATCACATTATGTGTGTATTAAAGAGACCCAACATATCACAACATAACATGACATATCACATTTGTGGTTGATGCCGTGTTTAGTTCTGTTAATATTCCTCTTGCGGATATTTTGGCCGTCTGTGCCAGTGGAGTTCAGTCAGATTTACCGGAGGAAAATTTACAGGGCTAGTACATTTGTTGTGCTTGCCGTTTATGTATCAGGTAATGGTAAGCGACATGCAAAGTAGCGCCAGGGAGGTCAGTTGCCCGATGCTGGCCTTAGCACTAACAGTGCGGGAAAGCAGCTATTAACCTAGCGCTGTAAAACGCGTCACAAATCCTCGTGTGACGACTTCGGGACTTCTGGGCCACGGGTAGTATTGGTGGTTTGGCTTGAAAACCAGCGCCAAATAAAATACGTTATTCTATTAAAAATATACCATGATGTTACTGTGCACAAAGCCCGTGCTTTAAAGAAAAGCCAATGACAAGTCAAATCGAGACCGGTCGCGGACTTTTGTTATTTTTCTTCTCTTCGTGGTCGCATGACCAAGTGTTACCCATTGCGACATGTGATGACGTCCTGGTCAGTGGTCATTTGCATTGGTCATTGCTTTGAAAGGTTATTTGCACTGACGGACAAGTCACAAATGGCTGGCCGAAATAATTCGCGTTCGGAATTTAACGGACACTCATGCCTCAAGACGGTCAATACGGATCAGGGGCCTTTAGACGACATGACCGGAACTATCACTAGAGTTAGAGATATCAGGCTTTGAAATGTCCTGTTTGAAAACAAGACTCGATTATCCGGAGATTTTTTGTGCATAAAGCATTTTGCCGACATGAATAATGCTGGTGATCCTTATGCTCTGTAGCGATAATCTAAATCCTATACCGACCTGGTTTGCCGAGGGCTGCAGACGAAAGGATAGTGAACGATTGAGCAGAAAGAGTAAACACTCATGAATTCTCGGCGCTAAGCCATTTTTAGTTGTGAGGGTAGAATGGGCTGGGAGGATAGGGGTACCTTTACACAGAAACACGAGTATATATATAATTTTCTGACTGAAAATCAAGCCCAACTGTCGGAAGGCCTCTCGTGTGTACGGCATCTTGCCAGAGTTTAGCAGAGTTGGGGCACTGTGAAACCAGCATCTCGCCGTACTGCTGTTTGGTAGCAACTTCCGCCCTTCTTCAGTCCCTCCCTGTAATTGAACATGACCTGGAGTAGTGTATCCATAAATTTCTGTCCTTTTTCTCCCTTTTGTCGCCTTCTCTCAGCCAGATTAGGATGAACTCCGAATTCCTGCTGTAGGGCTTAAGGATCACCATTTTATCTCTGAACACAAAGTTAAACATTTATTATATTTTGTGGGCGAAAGGCCCGCACCGACTTGATACTAAAAGTAGGCACTTGCGAGGAATATCGAGCACTGCTTTGGAAATCATGTATTTGGCCATCTTGATGGATATACGTATGAGGTGCTGGTCCATACACCGGGGGTGCCGGTAGTGTAGTGGTAGCGCGTCTGGTCTCCCAGACGCGCAGTGGTTAACGCAGCCCGCGGTACCCGCCCTTCCTGCCAGGGTGAGGGACAGGCGGCGCCATATAGCCTCAGCAGCTGAGTGCGTCGTAAAGCCCCAATGACATGACATGACACACGGTCCATACACCGTAGACCGATACTGCAAGAGGACCAGAATGGTTGGAGGGAGCCGACCTCATCTGGCCGGCTCATAGCTCGCGTAGGCCCGCCCCTGGTGCCGAATAGCGTGAGCACCAGAGAAATACCGCCGGCCCATTGTCTTCCGCTTACAACGGAATACCGTAGAGGAATCCGCCCGTGACGACAGAGGTTCCGGCCACTGTTGAGCGACTGTGTGACAGGCCGCTGACTCGTGACCTCCCGTGCCTCCCGTCAGTTGTTGTCGAATCATGCTGAGTGGCGCGCGCTCCCAGACCGTCAGCCCACGCCCCGTGAGCTGAGGCCGGGCCGCGCGGCGCGCGGCGATGCACGCTCTCCGATGGTGTTCTGAAGGACGTGGAGAATGGAACGAGCGCTGTGTCGAGACGGGTTATGAGGCTGTTTTTTTATGTTCCTAGTCTCGTTGAAAAGCCTTTTGGCAAGAACATCAGGTGGTTTCTCAGATGATAGCCCACCGCCGTCGCGTCCCGTTTCGAAAAGCTTTGAGCAACAGCATCGGGCTGTTTCGGGTGCGCCTATTAGCCGTACGCTAATTAACATTAACATGTGCGCTGATTAACTGATCGAAACACATATTTAGTGTTGCAGTGATTAACATCACGATCGTAGGAATAGCAAAGTCAACTAAAGTTGGCACTGGCTTCGTGGAATTGCTTGATTACTGATGATTGCTTGCTTGGTGATTGCTAGTTAGTTGTTGTTTTGGGTGCGTGTACTACATAGCCTATTTGAGCATTGGGATTAAGAGTCAAGTCACAGGCCAATGAACTGACCAAAATACGACTGTGGAAGGCTACTATGAAATATAGCGTTCAGATTACAAGCCCTTGAAGCATCACGGCTGGCTTATTTAGCAGTACATGAATGCTATACGCTGCCGAATCCAAAAGGATCGGCGCTCCCACCTCTGAACATTTCTGCTGTGAAAATTCCTTGTGACCGGAGTGAAGCCCAGAACCTGGCTATAACCGCCGCCGGCGACCGTAGATGAGAAAGAGACAAAAGCGTCCTTGGCAGCACGGCGCCACTATGGCGGCGCGGCCGTCGGTGGACTGTTGACCGGAGGCCGCCCGGTCTGAGTCACCGCGCCGCCAGCCGCAGCGTCACCGTTACTGGCCGCAGTGGCCGAACGCCGGACAGAGCGTGCGCCGGGTCGCGTCGCGCCCCCGGAGCCAGCTCTCGACGCCGGGCGAATAGACGTCGCGTTGGGCCGGCGGTGGCGGAGCGTGCGCCGGGTCGCGTCGCGCCCCCGGAGCCAGCTCTCGACGCCGGGCGGGCCGGCGGTGGCGGAGCGTGCGCTGGGTCGCGTCGTGCCCCCTGAGCCAGCTCTCGACGCCGGGCGGGCAGGCGGTGGCGGACGGCGCGGAAGGCAGGCCACCAGCGCTGCTGTGATCGCCGGCTCGGCTCCAATCGGAAGTACATTGCCGGGAGAAGGCATTGTTCAGCGGGTCAGTTTGGACGCCGCAGCTTGTGAGTACGGTTGGCATGTGGGCTGCGACGGAACGGCTGCCGTGAATCGGACTGTGGCGTCGGCCATTGTTTGAGATGTCGTCGGTTGAGCGTGCTTAGTGCTGGGTGAAGGGAATTGAAGGCCCGGCGGTGCTGTAAGGCGACGGAAGTTGTGTGGTCGGCGGGTGCGAGTCATGGTTGACGTCTGGTAGCGGCTCAGTCCTGGTATTACATCGCTGCCCGCTCTCGTTCCCGAACCGTTTTTTTTTTTGTCTACTGTGCTATGCTGTGCTCCTCATGACGTGCACCATATCTTCATAAATATCTCAAATGGCATTGTCGTGTCTTCATCAGACTGTGTATCACGAGGCTTGCCGTGTGCCAGGATCAGATGTCGCCATAGCGTGATTCGTGACGGACCCGGGTGATATTCTTTATTTAAATTGGTGGATTGTTGCATTCACCATTATAAGTTAGGATCATGCATGTGTGGCATACACAGTCTGCACGGTTTGGCTTCGCCGTCGCAGCGCGTGGACATTCGTCACATGGCTAATGTGCCGCGCATTTACTTGCCATTCCAAACGCCATATTTAGGTTTGTCGCGCTCTTCTACTCTTCCCTGGCGCGGCAGCTCGCGACTTTCCCTTGGTCTCATCCTGCCCTCCCCTTTCTCTATCTCCTACCCCGCCTCAATCTTCCACAGCGTACCGCGCTCCGTGCTCCGTCGCACCTCTCGCTTACCTCACATTCTGTGCACCCGGCGTGTCTGGCCGGTCTCCTCGCGCTCACCCGCCGCTGCGCTCCGCCCCACAGCCAGCTGGCAGGCGCTGCTCGACGACTGCCTGACCCACCACGAGGAGACTGTGCGCGCGTACGCGGTGGCCGCGCTACCTGCCTTCACGCGCGCCTACGTCACGCGTCCGGCCGATGACGCCGCCGCCGCCGGCCCGTCCGGCGGCGGCGGCGACGTCACCGACGACCTGACCGCTACCGGCGCCAGCCTGCTCGACCGCTACCTGGCCGAAGTGGACAGTGACAGCCAGAACAATCGGCGCGGCTTCGCGCTCGCAGTGGGTGCGTGGACGAGGAGCGGAGGAGGCCGCGGCGGCGGCAGTGGTGAAACCGGGCTGAGTCTTGGCGCGGAGAAGCCCGGGACTTCTTCACTGCGGTTATGTGTGACGATGTGTGTTCCGTCTCATGAGTGCAGTAATCTAATCGCACGGGGCGATCTTCTCTCAGCTTCATGTCGGTTTCTAGTGAGAATTGTGCGATCGCGAGACGAGTTAGCCATGCGCAGGATCACCTTGTCCACCGTATGGAGTCATGTACCGGAAATACGGGAGATGTACCAGAATGGCCAGCCGGTGCTGCTCACGTGCTTCCGACGCGCCGTCTGACGCCGCATCTGCAACAGGCTCGCTGCCGGCCGAGATGTTCCGCGGCAAGCTGCAGCGGGTGCTGAAGCGACTGCTGGCGTGCTGCAGCTCGACGCCGCAGACACGGCTGTGGGCCGAGTGTCGCCGCGACGGCACGCGCGCGCTCACCGACGTCTGCCTGACGGTGGGCGTCAGCGAGCTGGACGACGGTGAGCCGGCCAGCCGTGGCTGGGCTGTAGCGAGCGGGAGCAGCATTTGTTCCGTCGTGCTCTGTCCTCTTCGCCATTGTAAGAAAATGTCTGTTATTGTTTAAGGGGAGTTGGGTTGGGAGGCAGTCCTATGCATGCCAATAGTACAAGGGTGAAGTTTCTTGTGCATTTGGGGATGAGAGGGGGACTCCCCGAGTTTTATAAGAAAGCGCGAAAAATTAGGAGAGAAACACGTGGTGCACTTTCCGGATAGGTTTAACTATTTGTCCCTGCTCGGCCCCCTCGAAACTTCGCCCCTGCAGTGCATTTATGTATGAACGAGACGGACAGCAGCTTGTTCGTGGCCAGCCCCCTTCCCCCATTCATTTTATCAAACATCCTCAGTGCCAATATGTTGAGTGAGAAGAACATCAGCCATGAGATGCTCGTCAGTCAGGTGCGTGACCACCGTCTGATGGCGCACGTCCGTGTTCGCCTCAGGCTCCAACCACGTGTGCGCCGCCAACGTCGAAGAAATCTACGAGTGCCTTCTGCGCGGCCTGGAGGACTACACGTCCGACAACCGGGGAGACGTGGGCGCCTGGATCCGGGAGGCGGCCATCGCGGGGCTGCAGGTCAGCGGCGCGCCGGCGCCTGGGCCTCGCTCGCCTCAGGGCCGGTCTTGTGCTGCAGCCTGCCTCTGTGGTCTGTTTTAGAGCATGCGCTGTGCGCCTTAGAAGTGCTCTCAGTTATACAGGAATGTGGTGTGGGTCTGATCTGCTGACGTTGATGCCGATTTGGTTAATTCTCTGTGCATTCGGGTCTGCACCCTGACCTCCCGCGGCTGATGTGCGTCTCCGACACTGAAGCCCTCGTGCCGCCGGCTGACGGTGTGCCCCACCGCTGCCGCCGGCTGACGCTGTGTCTTTGCCGCGCTGCCGGCTGACGCTGACATCCGCCCCCGTTGCCGCCGGCCGACACTGCCCCCTCCCCCCGCTGCCGTCGGCTGACGTTATGCTCCACCGCTGCCGCCGCCTGACACTGTGCCCCACCGCCGACAGCGCGTGACGCTGCTGATCAGCGGCGAGGCGCCGGGCCTGCTGTCGGCCGACATGGTGGGCCGTACCATGACCGGCCTCAGCCAGCAGGCCGTCGAGAAGATCGACCGCACGCGCTGCGTGGCCGGCGCGGCGCTCTCCGCCCTGCTGCACGCCGAGCCGCCGGTGCCGCGCGTGCCCGAGCGCGGCGAGCTGGCGGCCATCCTGCCGGCGGCCGTCTGCGCCTCGCTGAACTGGGGTTCGGAGCGCGAGGCGCTGCCGCGGCTGGGCCGGCTGCTGACGCTGCCGATGTACCGGCCGGCCGTGCTGCTGGGCCTGCTGGTGAGCGCCGGCGGCATCACCGAGCGCCTGGTGGAGACGGCCGGCGAGCAGCTTCAGCGCCACCTGCGACGGCTCCAGCCCGACGGCCGGCGCGCCTTCCTCGAGGAGGTGGTCGCCGTGATGGAGCGCCACCGGCGCGAGGACCGCGTCACACTAGCCGTCATCAGGGCGCTGGAGCCGCTGCTTAATTCCGGTGAGACGCATTGTCGATGCTTAATTCGGGTGAGACAATGTGCCGCCGCGGAAGTCATGCTGCCAGAGCAGGGTGGAGGTGCTGGTTGGTCAGTAATTTCGGTGCATCGCTAGGCTGGATCAATCCAGCGGCAAGGCGAGCTTGATGTCCAGTTAGGTTGGGTCAGATGTTGCGGCAGGGCAGCGATCAGACGTCTGGACAGATCAGGTTCGACAGGCTGCCAGGTCACTGGTGGATGTGGTGCGCGCGAACCGCGGCCAAACTTGGAAGCTCTTGCGTTTCGATCCTGGCCCCGCCCGCGTCGCGCCACCTGACTCCCTGACGAGCTACGACTGTCGTCCGCCCCCGTCTAACACCCCCCCCCCCGCCCCTCGCCGCGGCCAGGTCTGCTGGAGCCGCTCTTCTCGGATGAGGAGCTGGGCGATCGGCTGGCGGCGCAGGTGCGCGCTGAGCTGGCCCGCTGCGCCGACCCGCACAAGCTGATGGCCGGCGTCGACCTCCTGTGCGCGCTGATGCAGTTCCCGGCGGGCACGCAGCGCCGCTGCCTGGGCCAGCTAATGGTGCTGCTGTGCCACCGGTTCCCGCGCATCCGGCGCGCCGCCGCCAGCGGACTCTTCGAGATGTTGCTGACGCAGGGCGAGCTGGCCGGCGTGGACGGCGCGGCGTCGGAGCGCGCGCAGGCGCTGCTCGGCGAAACCGACTGGAACGCGGCTGTGGACGTAGTGCGGCCCGTCCGGGATCAGGTGTGCCACGAGCTCGGCGTGCCGGTGCCGCAGCGCCTGAAAAAGTGAGCACCTCGTCCGTCCTGGTCTAGGCCGAGTTCCACTCATCAGCCGATATCGCCTGTGATTGGTGTCGCTCTATCATCGCACGATTTGTCCTGAAGGATGTTTAACGCGCAGACATTCCGCCGCCGGGTTGTGTTCTTGCGAGCGGTCGTGATTGCAGGTGTTACATAGCCTCGTTTATTACACAATATTTAACATGATTAGTCGCTCGAATTCGCTCCACGGCTCACTCCGTCGCCACTCGTGCCTCCTGCGACAATAAACACGTCGATTTAGCTGACTGAGCCTCTGCCTCTGATACGGATATATAATGTATTTGACTGTGGGGACACGCGCACGGCGGCCAACCCCCGCGTTCCAATCAAGCCCGTACACCTATCACAGACATAAACCAGCTCCACACCGCCTCACAACCCAACAAAAGCCGTCAGCCACTGGTTATACGACGCCGCGCGAGCCGTGCCATCGGATCAATAACGCGTGTCTGAGAGCACCCCTGGGAGTGGTCGACACACCTGCATCCGTATCAGCTCAATCGCCGTGACTCGATCTCCCGGGCAACCGCGCAGCCGCCGGCACGGGAGGCCGCCGCTCCGCCAGCCGAGTCTGAGGACGGGTCCGTGCCGCGCGGCGAGCCATGTCGGGCGCCGCCGGCCGGCTACCGGCCACGGTGCTGCTGGCGCGGCGCGGGCGGCGCGCCCGCCAGCCGCTCCAGCGGCAGGAAGGTGGCAGCCGTGAAGCCAGCCAGCAGCAGCGTCAGCGCCGCCAGCAGCACGACGGCCGTGTCGCTGAAGAGCACTGGGTAACGCAGGCGCACGCCCCACACCAGCGTCACAATTGACGTCAGCACGGGGAACAGCAGCACGCTGATGTCCAGCTCGCCGGGCGCCGCGGCGGCCGCGGCGGCCGTGGCGGCCGGCTCGGCGCGCGGCCGCGGCTCCGCCGACACATGACAGTGCACGACGCAGTTGTGGTAAAGGCCGCACTGGGCCAGCGTCTCCTGGTCGGGCAGCAGGCGGCCGTTGAAGATGAGTCGCACCAGCCGGTTTGCAGCCGTCTCGGCCGGGAAGTGCCGCCTGCCGGCAGCCCCGGCAGGGTTACGGGCAGTCACGCTTCCCCGCGCACGTGTGGCACCTCGCGAACTTTGCGGCGGTGGGCCGCGGCAAAGTTCGCGGCCAGCGCGGCAACTGACATTGTGTGAGAACAAGGCGCCGGCAAAGTACAACGCAAGCGCTGTGGGCGGCACGTTGCGACGGCAAGTCATGCTGACGGCCGGAATTGAGGGATGCGTCGGCTTCTTGGCCGTTTTGCACCCGCTCGAAAACGATCGGTTTAATTCTGTTCGATAACGCCGTTATATTGTTATGGACACTCCTCGTGCACAGGAAGGTGGAAGGTGGAATTCCATGATCGAGTCAGGGGCGCAACAGGCCAGAACTTCAGAATCCTATCAATCTCAACACAGTACTGGGAACAGTCCTTCCTAGTCTTTCCGACCATGCTACGAACGAATGCATGTCGTTGCTCTCTTAAGGCTGGAAGGGAGAACACACATTCTCACTCAGGGTGAGAGTTCGGCACAGGACTAGATGACGTGAAAATTATACTGCAGCTCATTAATGCGCTCTCACCTCTTGAAGTCAGCTAACGCCTCGGCTCGACTGCCCTCCACCAGCCGCTGCGTGTCGTTCAGGAACTTGAGCTTGACCGTGATGGACTGGTCACCACCGGCGACGGCGGCAGTGGCTGGACCATCGGTCTCGGCCGTTGTCTCGTCGGCCGGCTGCGGCGTCCCCTGCCGCTCTGCGGCGGCCGCCGGGTCGTGCGCCGCCGCCGGAGTCGCGAGCTGGCCGGCCGGCCGCACGCTCTCCGCGGGCCGACCGTCGGTCCGCGAGAGGCCGTCCGTCTGCTGCTCGGAGCGCGCCCCGCTACCGGCCGCCGGGGCACCGGCCAACTCCGTGGCGCTACGCTCGATGAAGGCCAGCCGCCGCTGGCGCAGCTGCTGTCGGTCGTCCGGAGCCGGCTCTGGCCGCCGCATCGCCTCATTCGCCGACCTTGCGTCCTCCTCCGCCGCCACCAGGCCGTCCTCATCCACCGCCGGCGGTCCGTCCTCCGCCGCTGAAGGTACGTCCTCCGGCGCCGGCGTGTCCTCCCGCGCCGACACCCCGCCCTCCTCGTGCACGGCCACATCCAGCGACTCCGGCTCATCCTCCTCGCAGCTGGGCTCGGATTCGGCGGCCGGCTCGGGCCCACCCGGCGCCGCCAGTTCGCCGTCACCCTCGTCAGGGGCCGCCGTCGGCTCGCCGCGATCGTCCACGTGGATGACGCGCTGGCCGACGATGATGGTCTGGATGCGCAGCGGCCGCTCGGCCACGCGCGTCGTCCACCAGGCCAGGCAGGCGACGGCCGCCAGCACGACCAGCACGAAGAACAGCGTCACCTCGTCGCCGACGCCCTCGATCAGCGTCATCGTCATGCCCGCAACACCTATCACAGATCGAATGGAGTGTCTATGTGTGATGAGTGAGCTTGAGAGGCTGCAAGGCCTTAGTGGAATACCAATGGCCACAGGGCTGTTTGTTACTGTACTAGCATGGGACAACAGGGTCACAGTATGCTGTTGGAAGCCATTGCCAGTATATAACCAGACATGTGGGTTTGTTAACATCAATGAGAGGCAAGTTTTGAGCCATTCCTTTTTCCTAAGTTTGTTCACACATCATGCAAACTGTAACAAGGCCTGCAATTAAGCTGCAATCTTTCCACAACCCAACCATGCCCAACTTAATCAACAATTGAGCATCACCAAGTTACCCCAAAAAGAGATGCAATAATTATGAGCTGCCACTAGCAAGTTGCATTACCACTGGTAAAATGTAATTATGATCACAAATATAGAGCTTATTTGAGAGCACTGTTGCAAAGGCCAATCCTATTTTTTTTTTCTATTGAAGGAAGTATTACTCATTTGTGTGGGGGTTTTGAAATGAAATAGCTATCTTCAAAATCATTTGGTGAGGTTCACAGCCCTGCCCTTCTTCCCACCCGAAACCCTTTAGTTTCTGAAACATGTCTACAAAGATGCGCAGACTTTTTGTGCAGACTTTTTCAAGGTCACCCAGGAATCCATGACACTATAATGCTATTCAAATCCTGCCATACATATCACGTCATACATAGTCATATATAGTATACACATCAAGTCCACCATGCATGGCATTCATGAGCACAATTTTGAGGTAAAACAGTAATCAGCTAGTTCTCAATAAATGTTGCACAAGCTATGATGGCATGATCAATAATATATTAAGGAGCAAATTAACTAATGAGAAATTGTGTTATCCTTTACAAGCCTTTTTCACTCAAAAGCATAGCATTATAATTAAGCTTATTTCATCACACTTAATACTTGCATCTAATGATTGCTTCAACATCTTCAAATGTGGTACAGTCCATTTAACACCAATGCCAAATTATTGCAAATAAAAAATTGTATTTTTTAAATAATAAAAATAAGATAATGATCCTTCCGACTCTAAGAGAGCAATGTGATAACAACATGAAACAAGCAAAGATTACATCATGCAATTGCTGATGTGATCAGGCCACCAGTGAACAAAAATAGTATGGCACATTTTCTTTAAAGTATCAAGACCTTTGGTAACATAGTTACAGGCAGATGAATAAAATGACATAAATCATGCAAACATGATCAATATAAGTAAAAGAGCACAACGAAGTGAATTTACTAAAACATTATCACCAAACTATTCCCAAGTGGTCAGTGCATAAGATGTCTCATTGGACAGAAGCTACTATGTTGTGATTATAATTATTGCTCCTAATTCAGCCTGCACAAAGTTGAAGACCAGTCATCAAGATATTTGGGACAGGCCTGATCCTGCTCCAAATGGGGCAACCAACTTCCTTGCTAAGGGAAGGGACCATAACATATTTGTTACCAAATTTAAAACGTTGGAAAATGCTCAGACATTTTGCAATAAAAACCATAAAAGCTCACGGTTTCAGGGCCTACATGTTAATGCCCACCTATCTAACTTACCTATCTTCCCTTTATATGTCTATACATATAATTTATTCGTACAAAACGTATCCAAGCACGCCAGATGGAAATTTGAAGCGGGCAGTAACATGGACCAGACGGAAACACTTTAGCTTACACTCATCCCAAAAACACGAGACAGTGACCCTCATTCACTACCTTTGAATAAGAATCGGTTTTCAAACTTAGCTGATATACACGCATCAAAACTTAATAACTCTGAACACTTCAAACCCACTTCCTATTACTCACCCGCTGGGATCCCCACACAATACACGGCTTGCTGTGGAGAGCAGTCGGGGTGATGGCGAAGGCCAATGACGCATTTGTCGTGCAAGTTTTTGTACATATTGAAGGATGTTTTCTCTCTTTTCTCTACCTCCTGTTACACAAAAATAGTAAACAAAATACAGCAGCCTCCAAAGGTCTGATTACTTGTTAAGCTTTCTCAGCACTGAATTATCTTATCATAACTACCTTTTATTTAGGATGAATACTAATGAATACGGAAAGCAAGATATGGGAGTTATTCTCTTCCATATCATCGAAGGCTCAAAGTACTGCCAAATAGTGAGCCGACCGGTGATGCATATGGCAGTTACAGCCTTGGTTATCACCGTCGGACGTGGTTTGCGTTGTCAGGTTTTGGTGCTGTTCCTGGCGTTTATGCAGATTCTTTATTAAACTGAGCACTTACAACCAGCCTCAAACATGCACGTCCTCAGCCACACGTCACACATAGGCTATCGTGTTTCAACTGTCCCTTCCCTGGGGAATTTATCCCATGACAAACCAAGGGTGTACAATCCTAAACAAAAAGTGAAAAAGAAAATCCGTTGAATGATTCTGAAATTGACAAGCGCGTGAATGAGAGTCGGTTAAGGGCCGAAAGGGGACAGGCGATGCTTTAGATTGAACATAGCAAAATTTGTCATCTTGTGGAAGCAACATTGTGACTTATTACGGCCCTGTCCATCATAGATGACCCGAGAAACCCCGACATAAAAAACTGTTCCGTGATGACCTGCATACGATACGGCCACATGCACAAGGAGCCAATTCGAGTGGGTTTGGATCTACATACTGCAAGAGCGGTAACGCAGTCAGCTGGCCAACCGTTGTCACAGATGCGCCACTTACGTTCTATTGGATCAAAATACGCATGGCCTTGGAAAATATGCGACGCGACGACGCGGCGAGCGATCGCTTGTACAGTGGTGCGCGCGGTGGGATGGCGTGGAGGGGGCGGGGGAGGGAGGCGGATGTAGTGCCATGGAATAATTGAATTTCAGTCGCGAAAAGCTGTCGAAATGGTTGGATCCATTTAGCACAAGTTGAGTGCCAGACCGAAGCAAAGCTCAGCTATGACGAGCCGGGACACGTTCGTTCATCTATTCGCTGGAGGGTGAGCTGAAGCCGTTTGACGTGTCTTGATCTGAACTGGCAACCGTTATAAATATGTCTGCCTTGAATGTTGCCACTGCAGGTCATCAACATACAAATACATGTTTCATTTCATGTCAATGGTGCTAATAACTTTTGATAGCACCTACCCCTCCATTTGTGAATTTATTATAAACAAGGTTCAAGAGAAATTAAGGATTGGTGCCTGACATCAGTGACAGATCATTTCTGTTGGTAGTTTTTGATAACATTTGGTTAGGTATGTGGGACTTTGGCTGATGTCGTTTAAAGAGTGCTATCAGTTATCTGATTGTTTTGGTGAAAGGAATGTTTCACATTTAAAGATGTAGAAGCAAGCATTGATGGAGAGCCATTGACAGCCATTAGGTCTGCAAAATGTGCTCTCTGGCCTTGATCACTGCATGTTCAATAGGATGCAGGATTTGAATATTGCTATAGTGTCATGGATGCCAAGGCTACCCTGAAACAATCTCTGAAATAGTGTGTTCATATTTGCAGGCATGTAGTTCAGAAACTAGAAGTTTAGGTCTTAAGAAGGTTTAAGGCTCTGTTTTCTTTCAGGTTCTTTTAAAGTTCTTTTTTTAGTTTTAGATTTAGATCTTAAGAAAGGCAGGGCTGTGAATTGCACCAAATGGTTTTTAAGATGGCTATTTCAGTACAAAGCCTCATATAACTGGAACACTTCCTTTGGGATGGTAGCATATGAGCATTGTTTTATGGTAGCATTAATAGCTACATACAATTTATGGCTACTACACAATATAGCTTCATGTTATTATTAGTTTTTTGGGTCATTCACTTTTGTTGAATAGTACATTTGTGGAGAGCAATGTCATTGAATGCTTGTAGCAGCTGATGTTAATATCATTCATTCCATTCATCCTGAGTTTGAGAGCTGATTATTTGAACCTTAAGTGCATTGGTTCAAATGAACTTTAAGTGGGTCAATGCAAACATTTTATTATGTTTTAGCATGGAATAATGGTTTTGGGCACATGGTCCAAAGCATAGGAAATGCAGACAACATATTTGTCTGTTGGATACTGTCCGAGATTGTGTATATCTTATGGGTACTTGTAATTACCTATCCATTGCATGCTTGTACCACTGGGTTAGCAATGCCCACCTATCCAGCAGCACACACCAGCTCACAGCATTTGCCCTGCTGCAGGATGGGTGGCACGATGGGCGCCATCGTGACATGCCCATTGGAAGTGGTGAAGACGCGGCTGCAGTCTTCACGCAGCGGGTTTGAGCTGCAGGTGCCGCCGATGGCGGCCGAGTCGCGCGGCCAGGCGTCCGTCACGTGCCGCTCCGTGCAGCATGGCCAGCGGTCGCGCTTCTGCACGGCCAGCGGTCGCGCCGCGCGCGACGGGCATGTGGCGTTCGGCCCGGAGTTCCGGCCGGCCCGCTCCATCGGCCTCATCCGCTGCATCAGGCGAGTGGCCGCCGACGCCCGGCGACAGGTGGCGCCGCTCCTGGCTTGAGTGCAGGCGCGCCTGGTGCGGAAGATGGATACCGTGGTTCTTGCAGGGTCTCGGCCACCGGGAGGAAAGCAATGCCCAGGAAAAGCTTATGTTTATTAGGGGAGGGTCGAGAGTAAGCAATGCAGTTGGAGTCGCTAAAGTCCCTTAGTGGCCGGCCATTGTATGCTTCTTTCCACCCACTGGGTGGATGGGGGGGGGGAGGGGGGGGGTCCCGCTGTGCTGCCGCGTGCTCAGTGTGGTGACCTTGAGTCAGCTGTAGTGACACGCGCCGATCCCGTACGGGTGTGTGGCGCTGCCTGCCGCCTTAATGAAACCATCCCGACCCTGCGCGGCCGGCGTCGTGAAGCTGCGCATCGCCCAGGTATGGATAAATGTTTACCACGGGGGGCTCCGCCATGACTGGCATAGCACAACGGCCTCTCAACTCTTCGACGAACAAGCGTGGACAAATGCGTCGTGTTTTTTTTAACGGCGACGATAAAATACATGCTAACCGAAATCAACGTGTTACGTTGACTTTGGCAAGGCCAAAGTAAACGCAACACCCTGTGTCAACAGGGTTCGTGTCAGGTGTCGCCTGAAAAAATAATTGTGGCGATGTGGGAAAATGGCGGTTGCTTTGAATGACCTTGTCAGCATGCAGTTTTCTGATGAATCGTAACACGGTATATGAACTAGACGCCTGTACTTATCCCTGTCAACACTCATGACCCCGTCGGGGTATGGTCACCAGATTCTGTCCAGATGCAGACAACCCGGCGACCAGGAGATTGATCATGATTGGTTAATCCGGATATTGATCCCTCGCTGACAATCCACTTCGATACCCGCCTTGAATCAGGAGCAGCTACCCATTGGCGCTCACAGGACGCGTGCGTGCCTCTGGGCATGACCGGTGCGGTGCGATGCATCCGGTGTGTTTACACGCGTGTGACATGTGAACGGGTGCTGTGGCGTGCGGCGAACCCGCTCGACGAAGTTGTCGAGCGGGTTCGGGGAGCAGGAGCGGGTGAGAGTTCTTTAGGTCTAAGGGAGGTCACGTGTCCCTAGCGTTGACGTCCGGTCTCTCGCGGCTCTCTGCGTTTCTCACTCGGCTGTTGGAAGTGGCTTGTGTTTGCCACGGATGTTGGCTGCACGACATTTATGATCCGCGATAGCTCGTTTGACACGCCGCACGGTCGGCTGTGACTCGTCGTAATGATGGCTGCGGCTCTGAAGCGGAAGCCGGCCGGCTTTGGCATTGTGGGGTGGACAGGTATTACTTCATTGACTGGAACATCGGCGCATGGCGTTCACGCTTTCGAACGCTCTATTTTATGACCAATGTTTGGGGAAATGTTGCCTCTGCGTCGAGTATGTTTGTCGTGTTCGGTGGGTTAGTACCGGAGGTTCATGCTGTCAATATTCGTTCTGAGCTTCTGTCTGCAGGGACGCCTTCTACTATGAACTTTGAACAGCGTCACAGGCCCTTTAACGCGATGCAATGCTTCTACCAATGCAGTGGCTCTAAGCCAGGATTCATCACCGTTGCGAGCCTATACAGATGCCTTTGGCCGCCGAATGCTGCGTGGCGAAGCTTTTGGCACATCCGAAAACCCTGAACCGCCATTGCCGACGTCTCCAGCTGCCACCCCATCGTCGTCAAAGCAATCATCATGACGGCGGTCTGGCGTTTTGCGCACAGGGTCATTATGGAGAAGGAGGGTCCATACGCCCTCTTCAAGGGCCTGGGACCGAACCTGGTTGGCGTGGCTCCTTCGCGGGCTATCTACTTCTGCTCCTACTCGAACGCCAAAAAGTTCTTCAATCAGCGCCTGACGCCGGAGTCGCCTATCGTACACATGGCATCAGCCATGTGCGCCGGTGAGTCCAGCCGCTGCGCTGGGAGTCCAGCGGCCGCGCCGCGTCGGTCCAGCGGCCGCGCCGTTAAATCCAGCGGCCGCGCCGGTGAGTCCAGCGGCCGCGCCGGTGAGTCCAGCCGCCGCGCCGGTGAGTCCAGCGCCTGCGCCGGTGGGTCCAGCCGCCGCGCTGGGAGTCCAGCGGCCGCGCTGGGAGTCCAGCCGCCGCGCCGGCAGTCAGTCCAGGAGTTGGGCCGCGGTCGCCGGGCCCCGTCTCTCCCCGCTCCAGCCCGAGCGTCGTTACGCGGTAGTCTCCCGAGCGGTCTGCGCGGCTGGTTTGGCGGGATCGGGCCGAGTGGCCAGTTTTGCCGGTTTGTGTGCTCTGGGGGATGGGCCGCGCGCTGGGGGATGGGCGCGCTGGGGGATGGGCCGCCGCTGCGGTGCGCTGCTGTCGCTGGTAGCTGTTTTTTCTGCTTAGGGTAAGGACAGGATCCGGTGATCCGCCATGAGTGGCTCCACCGTGAGTGGCGAGGTGGAATCCGCGCCCTGGCTTATTGTCCGACTCCGTAATGAAAAGTTAACAAGTCAAAGCAATAATTTTTCGGAGACGGAGAGAAGACCCACCAATGCCGTCTGATTTTAAGCCCACGGGGTAACATTTGACACGGAACGAACTGTAACTGTTACACTCCAGCGCCAGCTTTCACTTTGTCACCATCAGCTGCACAACATCTGAAGCAGGGAGCTGGAATCGCTTTTGAACTAGGGTGGGAGTGAAAAATTTCATGCAAAAAGACCGTGCGGGAGTGAAAACATCAATTCACAAAAGATGGAGTTTGTGAGCTCGTGACTGATGCTTCAGCAAACAAAGACATCTATTTCAAGTTGGCGTGGACGTAATATCAGGAACCTGACACATGTATTTCGTTTTTAACATCTTGGGCCATTAAAGTGAAACAATACATTAACACTCGCTCGGGGGGGGGGGGGCAAATTGCCCCCCCCCGAAGGCTGTTCCCAAATGGTTTTTGAACAGCCCGGCGTAGTTGCGCCAAATTTTGCATAGTTGTAGAAAATTGCAAAGCGGATCGTTTGACATACAAATTTTAGACGTACCTTGTAAGGTCGCTGACCTATGACAGGTCAAAGTCAGCCCATGGTTTCAGCGAAGGCAATTTTTAGGGAATCGTTCAATCTGATACAGCGACCGAGTGTTTGACGAAGACATACACCTCTGAGATGCTTTCTTAGGCACCACAAATAATGAATGAGCAAATGACGTTGACCTAAGGTCAGATATGGTGGTCAGACCAAGGTCAAAACCAACCTGATTTATTACTCTAGGGCTTGCTGTATGGAATAGTTTCTGGTGCTCATTTCGAATTTATTGACAGTAGGAACCTCGTCATACATGTTCAGTTGACTTCTTAGAGATCAGAACAGGCCATTGATCCAAGATGACCCGGGTCGAACGTTTTGTTTTAGGAACATACTGCGTAGCGCAATCTTTGTCGCTTATTCAAATGCAAAACGCAGAGCAGTCTTGTATCATTTTGGTCACCATGACCTTCAAAGGGTCAAACAAGGTCAGTGACCTCAAATGGACTTGTGACCTTTTGCTTAGACACCGTTGCCTAGGTTCTGGGGGCGCTTTGGAGGCAAACCTGAAATTTGACCTTGTTTGACCTTATTCAACCTGACGGTCATGACCTAGGAAGCTGAAACCCTACCTAAGTGAGTTCACGTATAGGTCAAGACACCCTGTAAATTTGGTGTATCTAGCTTTCTCAGTTCCTCAGATCTCAGAGGGGGGTCAATTTGACCCCCCACCCGAGCGAAGAGTATCTCGCCGGCCAACCGGGCGCGTGTTAAAACGTAATAAGCTCATGACAGTTTTACAAGCATAACAAATTATCAACACCAATAAGTTGATGCTGCACTTTTCAATTCCCCTCCACAGCACTTTTAAAACAAAACAAAGCAAATGAATTCAGTAACAAAATAGCAACAGAAAATGCAACAAGCATAAAACACTCAAACAAAAAAAAACTTGCACTCCTACACATCAGCCCATCACCAAGCCAAACACAACAAACACGCTTCTGGCTTCTGTTAAGATGGGGTCAGGGAAAGAAACATTTTGTCACTGTTTCTTACAACATACTAATGCTTATTTCCATGAAAGTAGCCTATGCCTAACCTAAAGGAACCTTACATCATCATTCTTGCACATTTCCTATTGCCACTTGCCACGCACTTGACCAACTTAACCTAACTTAGAGTAGCCGACATGATGAACATCATCTCAACTCACCTATCTGTTGACAGCAGCACTTGTGATAAAAACATGATATTTAAAGCTAGTTTTTGGCTGGTTTCAACTTGCATTTTTATTCAGTTCATTTGTGTATGCTTGTTGACATCAGACAAAGTTAACAACACACAAATCAAAACGCTTTAAATCTCTTTGAACAACTATTTTGATTGTCATGGTTAACCTATGTCAAGGGCAATAATGGGTATGGTCCACAAAACAATCTCTCTTCTCTAAAGATAACATAAGTTTTAGATGATAATGCCAGCATTGCTGCTTGCCTTTTCAGCTGCAGCAAATGCATCCAATTGGGCTTGTTTATTCACATTTAATGACAAAGTTTGAGATGTTGGCTTCACATTTTAAAAGGGGTGATCTGACTATTTGTTACATATCAATATTTAACTCATGTTATAATTGCTATGCAGCTTAGAGTATCCCTGTGTTAAAAATATAGTGCATATATACAGTACAGTCATTTGCCGGCCAGCAAACCACGGCAACTATAGAAAACATCCTGTTGAAGCAGCCATGAGAGACTAATTGAAGAAATTTGGGGCAGGTAACCAAGAATATGGAACAAAATAAGCTTGCGGAATCATAGTTTGTCTTATGGCAAAACTCGATGCATTAAAACAGAAAATGGCTAACTCTGGTTACTAGTCATGTGTTGAAAGCAGGTAAGGTAAGCAATTACTTGGTCCACAAGAGGCTTACTGGCTTCTTCCTGCTCCCCCAAAAACAAAAATTCAGCACCTTTTGCATGGTCTGCTGGCAGACAGAGTCATCCGACTCACCCCCCAAATATAAATTTCAATCATGCCCACCAACCTTCGAGATGAAAATGCGAAACAAGTAAGAGGTGTGCACGATAGAGGGCATTCGAGAGAGGGCATTCCCCAGAGGGCAAAATTTCGCCATCAAACACTTCTATATTAGATGCGTCAGGTCTGTCCCAAGGCTCTATATGGCAGCCTTGCCTTGCCTTCATAGCCTTAGCCTAGCCAGGTAGCCTGGTGAGTCAGACTCTCGGAAGGCTTGGATTTATCATTATTGAGCACCGCCATAAACAAAAAAAAGGTTAACCGAAGGTGTAAGGGGGCAAAAATGGCGGTAAAAATAAGTTCCGTGCTTCAAATTGTCTCCTTCATTCCCTGTGAATTTTTCACGCTGGGGTGCATAGCAAGCATGTTTGGGCGGCTGGCGAATTAATTCAATTTATGTATGAAATATGTACAAGTTTGCAGTTGGAGCATCTTGCAGGGAAATTGGTCAAAGTTTTAAGCGGCAGATGGTACTTCTAAAGACAATCGAAAGGAAAGGAAGAATAAAGTAGTATCACACTGGTATGATATCAAGAAAAACAAAAGTAGCTAAATAAATATAAAGACTGATACTTTGCTCGCAAAATTGTGTGAACAGCTGATTTGACTTAAAATCTGTTAATGTAAGTACTCAAATGATGATATTCATTTTGTGAGTTTAAATTAGAAGACATTTCTTGAACTTTCCACTCATGCATTTCGGGAGTGATGCAATTTAGTGGTCAAGTTTCCTTGGGAAAAAAGAAATACGTGGAGTAAAATTCTATACCAGGCCTTGCTGGTGTTTGCACCAGGCTCTGCTTTCGTGACGTGGTGGTGAGACCCCAAAAAAAAAGAAAAAAGGGGATTCGTGAAAACCTTGCATTTGGCGCACAGCTGCAGATTGTGGTGCATTTTGTTAACAAACCAAACTTACTGCGTGCAAGCGGGTGGGGTCGCTGGGGTTCTTGGGCTTGGAGGTACGTGGCACCCTTGCTCTGTGCATACATAGACATGATTCAGATGTAGGTGAGGCAGGACATAGCCATAGGCGTCCAGGTTCTGCGGAGCCTCGTTTATGGTTGATGGTTTGAAGTGAGCTCGGTTTTGGATGACATCTGAAAACCTCAGAAAGGGAAATAGGGGTTTGGCATGCGCGATTAGACAATGTCAGGTAGGAGTGAGAAATTCACGTAAAATATGGGGAAAAGGAGTGAAAAATTCCTCCTCATAGGGTGTTGCTTTACACCCAAAGTCGGCAATTCTAGGACACTGTTCTGAAGTGCGGCGTTGTCACAGCATTTTAGATGCACTGAATCGGGTTGATCCCCCCGAACTGTGTGGTGTAAACGTCTTGGTTGCGGTCGGAGCATCGGCCCATCAGGTGGCGCCAGCCACCAGGCCATTGGCGGCGCGGCCGGCCAGCGAGCGGCGCACGAGATGTCCGCGGCGGCGTCGCCTCGGGGGCGCCGTGGTCCGCCGCCGGGTCACGTGACACTTTTGGACAGCCGGCGCCGGCGTCCCAGGCGCGGCTGCGCTGATGGAAAATTACCGGTGCGACGCGGCGGATGCACTGCCTACCCCAGCGAGCGGCGGTCGTCCACCGGAAGGATCCGGACATGTCTGGTTTTGTCCGGAGCTAGCCGGCTCCGGCGGCTGACGGTGGGGGTGTTCAATTGGAGGTTATGTTCGTGCATAGGCGTTGCTGGGAAGTTCGTGGGTGGTGGCAGCTGGGTGCGGCCGTGGAGTGGTCGAGTTCAAGGTTATCGATTGGGGAGGGGGGGGGGGGGGGGGGAGGTCTCGTGCGGAGAACCTTGGCGAGGAGGTGATGCGGCTGATTCATATGGCAATAGAGACAAGAGTACAACTGCTCCTTATTCCAGAGCGAAATATTTGTACCATGGCTGTGTTATGGTTAGCAAGATGTCATCAACAGCCCGTGCCATAAAGGACAGCCGTTCGCCAAGTTTTCCCCCGACGTTAATGTATTTCTGTTCGATTATGTTGAGGAAAGAAATGCTGGAATGCATAGCCAGCACGGCGTTTGAGTGTGCGGATGTTGAAATAAACTACGTTTTTCAGCTCTAAAACCAACTTGAAGATGATTTGACGTAACAGTACAACGTAAGGGATTTTTGATATATTGTATTCATCTCGGGACGCCTGCCAGCGTCCTGAAACGAGGCCATCGTGGCGCTCAGGCCTCCGGCGTTGACTGGGAACACCGTGTGCCTGAGGCAGCGGGGCCCTGGCCGGCTGGGGAACACCGTGTGCCTGAGGCAGCGGGGCCCTGGCCAGCTGGGGAGCACCGTGTGCCTGAGGCAGGCGGGCCCCAGCGGGCCGGAGGAGCACCGTGTGCCAGAGGCAGCCCGGCCCTGGCCGGCTGGGGAGCACCGGGTGCCAGAGGCGGCCCGGCCCTGGCCGGCTGGGGAGCACCGTGTGCCTGAGGCAGCCGGGCCCCGGCCGGCTGGCGGAGCATCGCATGCCTAAGGCAGCCGGGCCCCGGCCGGCTGGGGAGCACCGCGTGCCTGAGGCAGGTAGTGCCTGGTTTATGTAGATTCGGAAAGATTACACCGATCACTTTATTATTGTAATATTGGTGAGGACACCCGGATTGGTCGAACAAACACATCCGTGACTCAGTGGCGTGTCTAGGCCGGGGTGACCTCGAAGCGGCCGGGCCGGTGCGCGTGCCAGGCCGCGTTGGCCGCCGCCGACCGGCCGGGCGACAGTGTGGCGCCACGGTCGGCTGGCCTGACCTGGACGTTCCGGGGACGAGCTCGACGGGACGTCTCGGGACGAGCTGTCCATGCCAGGACAGTCACGCCGAGACGGTCACGACGGAGCAGTCACGCCAGGGAAGTCATGCCAGGGCGGTTAAGCGGCTGCAGTGACCCCAGGACAGTCACGTCAGGGCAGTCATGCCGGGGCAGCTGAGCGGAGTATGGTCGGCTCCGACTGCAGCCGGCGGTGGCAGTCTGTCCAAGACGAGGGTCCAGCCAGTTTAGACCTGGCTGTACTGCTCTGTCGCTCCATCGGCCGGACGCACGACGCCTGTGAAACAGCTCGGTCCGGATGGAGCCCTAGCCTGGAGTGGCGGCTGCACAAGGTCCATCCACTCAATCAATGCGGCACGCTTTTGTGGCGAGACCTCGTCTGCTATGAGTAGGCCGTGGGCGACAAGCGAGCACTTCGAACGGGCGGACTCAGCGCAGCGCATTGCGGTAGTGCTCTGACGCTTGTCACCGACTATTGCGGTAGTCCTCTGACGCTCGTCACCGACTATTGCGGTAGTCCTCTGACGCTCGTCACCGACTATTGCGGTAGTCCTCTGACGCTTGTCACCGACTATTGCGGTAGTCCTCTGACGCTCGTCACCGACTATTGCGGTAGTGCTCTGACGCTTGTCACCGACTATTGCGGTAGTCCTCTGACGCTCGTCACCGACTATTGCGGTAGTCCTCTGACGCTCGTCACCGACTATTGCGGTAGTGCTCTGACGCTCGTCACCGACTATTGCGGTAGTGCTCTGACGCTCGTCACCGACTATTGCGGTAGTGCTCTGACGCTCGTCACCGACTATTGCGGTAGTGCTCTGACGCTCGTCACCGACTATTGCGGTAGTGCTCTGACGCTCGTCACCGACTATTGCGGTAGTGCTCTGACGCTCGTCACCGACTATTGCGGTAGTGCTCTGACGCTCGTCACCGACTATTGCGGTAGTCCTCTGACGCTCGTCACCGACTATTGCGGTAGTGCTCTGACGCTCGTCACCGACTATTGCGGTAGTGCTCTGACGCTCGTCACCGACTATTGCGGTAGTGCTCTGACGCTCGTCACCGACTATTGCGGTAGTGCTCTGACGCTCGTCACCGACTATTGCGGTAGTGCTCTGACGCTCGTCACCGACTATTGCGGTAGTCCTCTGACGCTCGTCACCGACTATTGCGGTAGTGCTCTGACGCTTGTCACCGACTATTGCGGTAGTCCTCTGACGCTCGTCACCGACTATTGCGGTAGTCCTCTGACGCTCGTCACCGACTATTGCGGTAGTGCTCTGACGCTTGTCACCGACTATTGCGGTAGTCCTCTGACGCTCGTCACCGACTATTGCGGTAGTGCTCTGACGCTTGTCACCGACTATTGCGGTAGTCCACTGACGCTCGTCACCGACTATTGCGGTAGTCCTCTGACGCTTGTCACCGACTATTGCGGTAGTGCTCTGACGCTTGTCACCGACTATTGCGGTAGTCCTCTGACGCTCGTCACCGACTATTGCGGTAGTCCTCTGACGCTCGTCACCGACTATTGCGGTAGTGCTCTGACGCTTGTCACCGACTATTGCGGTAGTCCTCTGACGCTCGTCACCGACTATTTCGGGCCGTGGCCGGGAATGGGCCGGGTGTCTGGGCGAGCTGCCGTCCTGCGGCGAGTGTCGGTAGTGATCTCGCCGCCGCCGCCGCCGCCGCCCCGCTTGACGCCGGCCCCAGCACGAGGTCACGCCCACAGACGGACGGCGACCGCGTCGGAGGCGGCCCGGCCCGGCCCCGGCGGCGGCGGGCGCCGTCTCTGTCTCGCGCGCGGTGGCCTGGCCCCAACGTCAACAGTCTGGGGGTCTCATAATACCCCGCCGGTTGACGCGCAAGGTCGGAATGTCGACCATTGTATCAAAAGGATGTCTAGTTCAGTCGTCCAGACGCTTTTTGTCTTTTCTAAAGAGCAGAATGCTGCCAGGGATTGCACCAGAGGTTACAGAAGATGATTAGACTATCGTCCATGAGTTCTTGTGTTTGTTGATTTGTGCTGACCGATGTTGGCTGGCTAGGTGCGGTGTTGCCCATGCTTTTTCAGTAGCGTATAACAGCATGTCAAGGAGAGTAGCATGCAGTACAAACGGCTGTACGAAGGCGTTTCGTCTTCGCTCAGCACGCTTGTACATCGGTCAACAGATTGCAGTTGTCCAGTCTGGCTGAGTGCAGGGATCTTGTCTGCCCTGATAAGATAACGATCATTTAAAAATGTGTCGCAGTCGCAGATCATATAATCTCCGTGACAATGCAGTGTTTACGCGCGGAGCTGGATACTTGGGCCTTTCGATAGCTCTAGGAAAGGCAGATGTGCAGCGTTTCAAGAAAGGGATGGGTGCCTCGCAACGCGTACTAGCAATTTTTATCATATGTGCATATACTCGCCCCCAGTCAATGTTGCTTTTTCAAACGGTTGAAATGGTGGCGAGTTGTTCGCACTCGTTGACCGTCAGCGCTCTCCGCGGTCCGTGCGTGAGCGCCGTGTGGTGTGGTGTGTGTCCGCCCCCTAAAGGGCGGTGCGCCCCGGCAGGCTTCTGTTCCTGCACCGCCACCAACCCGATCTGGTTCATCAAGACTCGGCTGCAGCTGGACCAGCACCGCTTCGGGCAGCGACTGCGTGTCGTCGACTGCATCAGCCGCGTGTACGCCGAAACGGTCAGTGAGTGACCGCGGTCACGTGACACCGGCGCGGTGGTGGAGGCTCGAAGTCTGCCGCACTCACTCACTTCTTGTGTCTCTCAAACCGGCCAAACCAGCGCATGAACGCATATTGATCCCCAGAGCTAGATGTCGGATCTGATTTCGGCGTACGCTGGGGTAGGCCGAAATGTGCGGCGCAGCAACAGCTATCGCAGCACGTCCGATCTTTCTTCTGACTATTGACGGGGGCTGTGGAGATGGCCGTCGGAGCTGACCCGAGGTCGAGTTTGCGGCCCCCGCACAAGCCGCCGATATCACTGACCGTCGCGTGACACGCTGGCAAGTGGGCAACCTTGGGCTGTTGGTTTTGGCTTCTTGGATTATCCATGAAGGCGTCCACAAATACAGGTCATTACTGACGCAGGGCGTAAGGCTTGTCGCGTATTTTAACGGATAAGGCCGCGTTCACTTATAATGGTGTATGCTTCGCAGGGCTACGAATGCGTAACAGAGTATCAATAGTATTGGCACTGGAACTGCATGGCTGAAAAGAACGCTGGAGAAAATCGTTGCTTTTGTTTGGATTTCATTTCGCCTTGGAAGTCAATATTGAGACACTGCCACAAGTTGTTGCCATCGTGTTACGTGCGGGCGGCTCCACGCTCCCGAAAGCTGGCTGTAACTACTGCACGACGTTTCTGCAGGGTATTCGAGGCTTCTACAAAGGCATTACGGCTTCTTACTTCGGCATCACCGAAACCATGATCCATTTCGTCATCTACGAGCACGTCAAGCGTCGCCTGCAGATGTACAGGTGCGCCTCTATCGGCGGCGTCTGCGGCGACACACGACGGGCACGGCGTGACGCAGTTGGCCGGCCCCGGTCGGCGGCAGCGGGCCGTATTTTGGGCCGAGTTGTCACGGGGTATGGCTACTATGAGCTGTGACGACCGGACGACCAGCTTAGGAAATGCCGCTTGGGGATTCGCTGAGCTAAGTTGACGGGATTTGTGGACTTTTGCTCTCTTTCATACCAGTTCTAGTGAATGTGGGACCAGTCCCTGACTTTTTAAATTTTGCTCTCTCTTTCACTTCTACGTCGTCCATTTAGACGGCGTTAGTTAGTTGCTCTGGTGGATGTAGCGAGGTATGTTGGTGCTGCTTGTACTGATATCAATTTCTGTGAAGACTTACTCGAAATCGTCACGGTGCCGAATCCAATCATGTACGACGCAAACAGCTGTGTTGGTTTGCTACATGCAGACGGGATCGGACAGAAGCCGCTGAGCTGGGCAGGTAACGACGAGCTCTGTCGTAGCCGGCGTAGCTGTCGTCTGTTGAACTGGTCGCATGGTTTGGCTGTCGTGTGTTGGACGAGCACACGCGTGCCACCTCCGGCTGTCCTGACGGCCGTCCGGGGGGGGGGGGGGGGGAGGGGCGTGGGACCCATCACACGTGGTGAGGGCCGGATTGCCTGCGCAGGATGTGCTCCACTCGGTTCTTTATCGCCGTATCGACATGTGAATGATTGTGGACAAATGCTTACGTGCCTCTATCTGTGAGGCTCGGTCACTGTAGTCCACGTAAGCGGTGCTGTTTTCCTTCGAGTATCGGCCACTTTGGCTACGAACAGGTGCTCACCACGCCACCACGCCCACAATTATGGGGATTAAGAGAAGTCACTCATGTCTTTGCGAGCACCCCGTTATCACCAGACACCGTATGGCTCGTGCGTCACTCTGCGAGCTCGAGCCAGCACTAGGCAGCGCCGCGCTGCCGCCTGGCCGCCCGCTGCTGCTCTCCGCTCTGCCTCACGTGCGCTGGACGCGGGAGCAGTCCCGACCGCTCCCGCCTCTTGTCTGTCGCGTCCCGCACACACCGGCGGAACGCTAAACCCAGCGTGGCGGCGTTTGCGTCGTCGTCGTCGTAAACCTCGCCCGTCGTTTGCGTGCACATCACGGCACGGGACGCCACGCCACGCCACGCCACGACGCCACGCCACGACGCCACGCCACGCCACGCCACGCCGCGCCGCGCCGCGCCGCGCCGCGCCACGCCACGCCACGCCGCGCCGCGCCACGCCACGCCGCGCCGCGCCGCGCCGCGCCACGCCACGCCACGCCACGCCACAGCACGCCACGCCACGCCACGCCACGGCACGCCACGCCACGCCACGCCACGGCACGGCACGGCACGGCACGGCGCGGCGCGGCGCGGCGCGGCGCGGCACGGCACGTGCCCCGTGCGCGGTCTGACCCGGGTCGTGCCCCGCTGCAGGCACGCTAACACGTCCGTCAAGACCAGCTGGGACTTCGTCGAGTTCATGCTGGCCGGTGCTGTCTCCAAGACGGTGGCCTCCAGCGTGGCGTACCCGCACGGTGAGCGGCTGGCCACGGCACGGGCGTGGCATGTGCTGCCACAGGGGGTCGGCGCCTGCCGGCTCCCGCGGCGTGGGGCGTGCTGGTGTCCTGTTAGCGAACCCTTGTGCTGTGTCTCGGACGGGCGGGGATTCTTGGCAGTTTCGCTGTTGCTCGGTTTATAATTAGCCGACTGTGTGTGATCAATACCAGCTGTGCTTCGCATGGCTGTCGTCGGCTGCATGAATTAGCCAAACTCCATCCCGTTAATTGGATGCCATCTTGGTGACGTTTTGAGGGGCGCAGAAGGAGGAGACAGTCTTGGGCTACAGTCGCCTGAGTATCTGAGCATGTCCGCAGAGCTGCGCATACTGTGTGGGCCACGTCAATGAGCAGGGCTCAGGGTGTCGAACCCGAGCGTGGCCACCACTACCGGAAGCGAAGCTGGAGTGTTCTGTTGGCGCCGAGTTCGGCGAATGCCTGCCTCTGGTGACTGCCACATAAAAGTCCAGTCTGTGTGTTTGGTGATCTTGTTCCCGTCCATCTGCCTGTTCTTGCTCTGCGATTATCCTCTTACGTGAATAGAGACGACTTTGAATCACCTTCAGTGTCATAGACCATTGCCCTCGATTGCCATGTCCTGCTTGTAGGAATGATCTAAGTGAGGATTTCAGAAGCAAGTCGCACTTAAAATGTTCTCGTGTGAGATCTGGGAAGTAGATACAGCGTACATCCGAAGATTTAATTTGGAACCTTTGTGCACATCATCAGGAACATTCAGCTCCTTCCGGCATCAATTCACCGAGCTAGTTGGTGTCAGCTTAGTGTCATTTGATCCCGAATGGCTGTAAATGAATAATAAATTATATATGCCCACACATGCATATATAGCTCTTCATCCTTACAAATCGATAGGCCATAATGTTTTCGTCGGAATTTTGCGCATTCCCCTCAGCCAGCTTCACAGTTGAGATGTGACAATTGATGCCCATTCAAGGGGCGGAGGTTTGTATCACGCCCTTCCCCCAAACGGCTCACTGCCGAGGCACCCGAGGTGATTTAACAGCACGCAAAAGTGCCCGAAGTGCGACGCTGACGCAGACCAGTCACCAATCACTCTCATTTGTGAGCCAATGACCTGACGTATTTGCGCAGTGTTGGCTTGGACGCGGTGGCTTCGTGTCATGACAACAGAGTGAATCATCTTCGTCACCCTTCGCTAGCGGGCGCACGGCCGCCTCCTTGCCGCGTGCCCCTGTGTTGCTGTTGTTTTCCCCGTGGGCCGTGTGTATTCAGTTGGTGTCAGCTTAGTGTCATTTGATCCCGAATGGCTGTAAATGAATAATAAATTATATATGCCCACACATGCATATATATATATATATATATATATATATATATATATATATATATATGCTCGTAATTAATGCAACAAGGGTGCCGGTAGTGTAGTGGTTAATGCATCTGCGTGAACCAATGCGCGTCTGGGAAACCATAGGTACGGGGTTCGATTCCCCGCGGTGCCCGCCCTTCCCGCCGGAGTGATAGGCAGGCGACGCCATACAGATTCAGCAGCTGAGAGCGTGGTAAAGCCCCAATGACATGACAATGCAAGAAATATATACAAGTAGACTCCAAAGGACGCGGGGTAGCTATTTGCGTCAGATATTTATTTAATTCGCCTGGAGCACTCTGGTAATGATATAGCGTAGACTTTTCGGATTTAAGTGTGTCAATAAGGTAACGTACACGAGATGTTCAGGTGTTGTCAGAATCAAACGCCCTTCTCTCCTTGCTCCGGACTGTCGGATGTCTGGTAATCATTCCAAATGTATCCATGCTGCCCTGACAGGCAAGCGTAACCCCGGTAAGACCGTTCTTGCCTCCACGATCGCCAATGCGTGCGCTCGCCTCCGTGTCCTCTCCAGACCGCCTCACCTGTGCGCAGGCCAACCAGGGGCGTGACCGCTCCAGGTGGTGCCGCCCCCCCACCCACAAATGATCACCCCCCCCCCCCGCCCGCGACGTGGGGTTCCCGCCACCGGCCGCCAGCGCGCCGCGGGCCGGCTGTGGCGGTGGCCGTCGCCTCCACCCGCGGCGCACGAGCCGGTACGCACGGCCGGCGGCGCGCCAACCCCCCCCCCCCCCCCCTCCCTCCGTCGGCGGTGGCGAGCACCCGCTGAGGTGGCGGTTTCGTCTGACCACGGGTGTGGACTCGCCACGGCCGCCGTAGCGGGCCAGCGGTTGGAGACTGTCGAGGCGGTAACTGCGTTGTTGATGCGACTCGGGATTTGTTTTGGTTGGGCGGACCTATTCTGGGCGTGGTGTGCGGCTCGCCAATGGCAGCTTTGGTCGTTCCCCGTCCGCGGGTTAAAGTGATGTGAACGTAGTCCTGTGCGAGCAGCATTGCGATGTGAGTTTTGTGTTACGGTTCCGCCGTGAACTATTTGGATTGGAAACCTACGAATGTGAAAAAAAACACCTGAGAGCCGTGGGAGGATTCGAAAGCCGCCTGGGTGTGTGTGTGTGCTTGGGGGGGGGGGGGGGGGCTGGGCGTAGAGCGGGCAATCCCGTTTGCCGGAGAAAGCCCGCAGTATCCTGATTTGCAGAGCTCATCGGATTTCGCTTTATATTTATCTTCAGCAGTGACTTTTTTGCCAAAATCGGTTCACGTTGGGAGGAGGAAAGTAAACAGCGGCTCACTCACGTCGTGCGCCTCGTGGTCGCGGTCTCTGCACACGTGTCGACGCCGCCAGCCCCCATCAGACCCCTGTGCTGGTGGTGGTGGGCGAGGGGCCACTGGCCTCGGTGCCCCGCGGGCACGGACGTGACCTTGCTGTCACGCTCGCGGTCCTCCGCGGAGAGGGCCGCGGACGTGACGTTGCCTGGCCCCTTGGCGGAGAGGGCGGCGCCATGGCGCCCCGCCTGCCGCCGCCGGCCAACTGCAATGTGTGGGTGTGGGTGTGTATGTGGGTGTGTGTGTGTGTGTGGGTGAGTGGGTGTGTGTGTGCGTCCGGGCGGGCGGGCGGGTCGGCGGGCAGGCAGTGTGGCCAAACGGGCCGCTATTCTGGCCCGCTGCTGCGCGGAGGGAAGGAGTCGGCAGGGCAGGTGGCGGCGGCGGTGGCGGCGCCGCCGCCGCCGCCGCCGCCGCCGCCGCCGCCGCCGCCGCCGCCGCCGCCGCCGCCGCCGCCGCCGCGAAATAGATGGCGTTTGACAGAGGCCATCCCCCGCCTACTGGAAATAAGCATGTTCGGTTAATTCGATCGTTTCGCGCCCTAAAAGACGAGGCTCCTGGTATCCCCGTATCAGTTGATGTTGAAAGTTATATTGTCTGGAGCTTTGGAGTCTTAACATTCGGGAGATTACTTGAGGATACTAATTCACTGCAATAGCTCATCACTGCTGTCTTGAAAGCTTGTTATATAATGCCTTGGTATTGGTCTGCCCGAGAGTAATTGACTATACGCGTGCCCAGTTCATGTGGCATCTGTCCGACCGTGTGGGCGTTTGTGGGTGCTGACTGCTCGCCAGCGTCGTGGGCATCTGTGCGGACATCCAGACCGCTGCACCCATCCGCGTGCCCATCAGCAGCCCTGGTGTCCATGTTTCCGTGTGTCATTGTTGCTCTCGCCCGTATGCTGTCCGCCGACTCACTCCCTCCCCCTGTGCCGGTCCACTGCGGGTGCTGTTGCCTCGCCCTCGTATTCGCTCCGTCGGCGCTCTGCCCCGTGCGCTCGTCCGCTGCTGGTGTTTGCGCGAGCGGGCGGCACGCCACCGCTACCTCTTGCCCGTGACAGACGTGGCCAGTCCTGGCCGTGTGTGTCGTCACCCGACCCGGCGCCGATGACCTCTCGCGGCCGGCCACAGAGCGCGCGGCTGTGGGCGCGGCCGCTGCGTGTCTGACTGGGTTTCTGACCGACGCTGTCTCTCCGCGGCAGAGGTGGCGCGCACCCGGCTGCGCGAGGAGGGCAACAAGTACCGCGGCTTCTTCCAGACGCTGCACGTGGTCTGGTGTGAGGAGGGCCACCGCGGCCTGTACCGCGGCCTTGGCACCCAGCTCGTCCGCCAGATCCCCAACACGGCCATCATGATGTCCACCTACGAGGCGGTTGTGTACCTGCTCAGGTGGGTCAGGTGGGGGCGGCGGTGCGCGATGGACGCGGCCAGGCCGAGATGGGGTAGCGGCGGCGAGGTCACCCGGCGGCGGCCAGGTGGTTTTGGTTAGCGACCTCTGAGACGCTGCGAGGCTCTGCGTCAGTTGCCGCCAAACGTGGCGGGCAACGCCATTATCGTGTTATGGTTCGGCTTCGTGCGATGTCACTATGGTTGGGATGGGCGAGGGGAAAGACGGCAGCCGCATTGAAACGCAATTTGATGTCCTGTGCTGCAGAGACACGTCTTACGACAAGGATTTGATGTACGAGGAGGACGACGGGTCTGTGCCAGAGTGCGCGACGAACTCCTCCGGGCGGACGAGTTTTGCGTAGTGCCACTAAGCAGCGCTACCGGCGGAATGTTCGTGCCAGTAGCGGCCGCGTGGCGGCACCATTGTCGGGCTATAACGTGGTGTGACGTATGCGCACTGTGGCTCTATCGTTGGATGATGAGCGCTCAGCGGCGACCCCGTGGCACTCGTCGGATAATGTGTGCTCAGCAGCCACCTCGCGGCATTATCTGGTGAAACGCTCTCCGCGACCGCCACGCGGCGCTAGCGTCGGATGAGCTCTGCTAGATGGCCGCTACGCGACGCCAGCGTAGGGTGCGCTGCTCTCAGCGAATGTCACTTGTCTCCCGGCGACATGCGGGGGCGAGCGTGGTGTGCCCTGGGGGTGCGGAAGTGCTCGGGGCGAGGGTGGTACGCCCTGGGGTTGCGAACATGCTGGGGGCGCGGGTGGTGTGTCCGGGGGGTGCGATGTCCTCCGGCGTGACTGCTCGCCGACTCTCTGTGATAGCTTGGCTGATGTGCCGCAGCCGCGGACGGGCAGTCCGGTGGATTAGTCTCTGCTGCCGCCGCCAGGAGCGCTGCCGGGCCGGCCAGCCCCTCCGCATGGTGCGGCGCACGTGTCCTGCTCCGCGGGCTGGGGTTGACGGTCAGGTGGCTGCTCGAGCCACGGCGTGGGGCCGTCGCCGCCGCTCGGGTCGGCGGGAGATGGGCGGGCAAGGGCATCCGGCGCGTGTCGTATGTGGAGGGTGTGTGGTTTGAAACTCATTTTGTATCTAGGTGGAATATATGCAGTAGGCTGACCATCGTGTTTTTCTTGCACTCATGAAAGGTGCTGCACTGCGGAGTGCGTTATCGGCACAAAACAACGCATATTTATCTGGCAATGGTTTGTTGCCGTTCTAGGCATAATGTGAGAGTATATCATCCTGGGAGCCTATGTACTGCACGTGTAACATAATGGATGAAATGCGCATTTCACATCGGACCAAATCTCCAGAAAAATAATTCCTTACATCGCGCGGCTAGTGGTATGTAATGACGAGAATGACTTCAGTGGCCAGTCCGTTGTTACTGTTCGTGATCTGCAACCGCGCTGCGACTTTGGAATGATTGAAACCGTGGCTGATATGGGATGCCTGAGAAATTGGGAGCGAGCGAGCACGTCCGTGGGAGATATTATGTCGGAGCTATCTTATCGCAGGATTGCTCGCGCCTACACCAAAGCGTGGACCAGGAATGTGAGCAGCGCGTCTGTGTCGGTCTCTGGCGTCTTTACCACTGTAAAGCCTCAGGAATATCGAAGCAGTGCAAGTCTCGGCGAAAAGGTCGAAAGTGTGCTATCACATTTAGGGAACTTCCCGCGACACCACAAATATGCGTACGGGATAAAAATTCACATAGTGTTTAATGCATGACTGGCACTGCCAATGAATTCTCTTAGCAATACAGATTGGTGAGGGTTGGGCATTTGGCTTGTGCTTTTATTGCATTAACTTGGGCACAGTTTGTAATTTTGAAAATATTGGATGGAATATCCCTGGCAATCGCAACAGGCTACAATTTTCGCGCCTGTGGACATAGGTAGGTTGAGTTTGTTTTCTGATACAAGCAGGGATGTCAATTTTTGTAAAATATTGGGGGCTGAACCGAAGCCCGACAACTTTCCCCCCCCCCCCCCCATTTTGTCTCACAGGATTTAGCCCACTTTACTTTGATTGGACGCAATAAATCACGTTTATGAATTACGCTTTATATTATTCGTGAGTCCTTAATTTATCCATGCAGGGTTGGATCCAGGGAGGAGGCACTGGGCGTACGGGTCTCTTCTGCTCGGCACGTGAAGGCGCCCCTTTAGAGGCCACCTTAGGGCGCCGATGGCGTTCGTCTACGACGTTCATGGGAGGCGGCACGTATTTTGATCGTGGGGGACGGGGACGGGGTTAGCCATGAAGGACTTAGGTCACCCCATATTCCAGAGCTGTTCATTTTAACCTCACAAACCATTGCGTATCTTATGGCGCTAGGTATGTGAAGTTGATTGCATCGCTTCTCCGCTCAGCTGTTACGATTTGTATCTTGTGGTGAGAGGAGCCATGACTTTTTGTTATGAGAGTGGGACGAGACGCCAGTTCGCAGAAAGATCAAGGAAGATAGTCTTTGTGATATTATCATCTTTAACCCACGTTCTTTGGTGTAATTATGGCCAAAAACATTGGGGAGGGGGGGGGGGGAGAGGCAAGCCAACATTGGGGAGGGGCAACTCAACATGGGGGCAGGGCCCTCACAAAAAATACAAATCAACACCTGTGGGTACAAGTCTTCCGATGTGCGATCGCCGTTAACGGGCCCAAATCACCGGTAGTGAGGTATCTAGCATTAGCCGTACTTAAGAAAAAAATGCTTGTAGAAACGGCGCATTTTCGGGTATCGGATGCCATTTATTGTTGATATGGTGGTTACTGGTGTATCAAAAGCATTAGTTGACTAACGATTTAAACTACGAGCAACTTCAGAATTTCAAAGCAGATTAATCGAAAACATCAATTCACATTTTTTAGTATCAGCTTTGATGGTTGCCATGACAACAAGCGCCGTAGTAAGCAGGTACAAGAGCACGCTCCGGCAAGTATCCTATTCTAGCCCGCATGAGAGAGGTGAAACCGTCCCGTAATTCTCGCTTCATCTTCGCTTGACGTTAGCGTGACGTCACTGATGCCAAGACTTCAATGCGGGGTGGGTCGCTAGATACCTGACCAATTCTGAGAGGCAATCGAAACATAAAAAATGTTTGTGCTGATAATGAAAAAAACATTTGGAGAGGATGCAAATGAATGACGAGCCGATTACGTAGATTGCTATGGGGAATATAGTGATGTGCTTTTCTAGCACGTGCGGCAAACATTTAAAATGCAATGGCATGGAAGTGAGGACATACACACAAGACTTATGCGCAGTGAGGTGGCAGGAACATCGGGCTGCCTTCCGGATGTGAACCCAAAGCGACCAGACTCGTAGTGACATACGTGTGTGTCCAGCAAACGGAATGCGTAGAATTTAACGGGCATCATGATAAGGGTAGCAACCTTTAAAGGAGTATTCCCTCTTTTTGAACTTTTCATCTATTGTTACATCAGACGCGTACGACTTGATCAGTAATACCAGCTTTCTCGAAATTCTTCCGAATATCTCAAAACTTCAGTTTTAAGTAGCCTACCCTGCGGGCGAAATCTCATTTGACTGCCTGCTCTCCGCTATGAAAATAATAGATTTCATTCACCTTGCTTTTTTAACGCATGTATTCCAGAATGCTTGCAGCACATTAATGTGCCATTGCTTGTGTGATAAATGCTACGAGAGCTTGAAACACTGTGAAGACCAAGAAAAAATGTGAACATGAAGCTATTATTCCGTCAGTTCAATGGAACTTTGTACTGTGACCTTCTATTTTTCCCCTACGACAGTTACCACAGAGGATCTTTTCCAGGCTCACTTTGACGTTGGGAATGGGGATACTACATGATCCATGTAACGCACTGGCCCAGACTCCAATTAACCAACTTCTCGGTGACATGCCCTTGCCCATTGGGTCGATCACAAACGCCATTTCATTCGCACCAGTAGAGGTGTGCACGGCGGTTACGGCGGCACTGCAGGGGAAAAGGATTGACGAAAGAAGGGAAGTGAAGACAAATGTTATTTCAAAGCGCTAATAACGTAATTTTGACTAGAAAACAATGACAATTGATATCATTATCGTGCCTTGACGGTGCTGTAGTGGCACTACCGTGTGCTATTATTAGACGGAACTGGTCTTGAGCATAGGCGTAGGAACGTTCCAAAAAGTGTGGGGGGGGGGCAAGCTCAGGGTGTACTTTAGGAACCTTTTCTGGAAAGCAAGCCCGATGGCCGGGAGGGGTAAGGGGGTAGAGATGGACGTTACTAACGCCCTTTATTCAAATGTCATGGATGCTATACCAGATATGCATCCAGGGCTGTCTCTCATTGGTGCACAATCTTACCTATTCGGCTCATCTATGTCATTCCGCAAATAAGGCTATCCAGCTTGCCAGGATTATTCATCCATTTTAAACTGTTTTTTTTCTAGAGAGGTGAAATTCCACTAGCGAGTAGGCACTTTGGGTCATTGAGAAGGCATCTGTCTTCACAGGGCAGATGCCAAAATACGGCCTGGGCATAGGCTGGTGATAATTTTGAAAGTGAGTCGATAGCTCACAGTGAGACAGATTTTTGATGCGCCTTCACTTCGCTAGCTGCTTTTCAGGAGTTTTGTCGCACGATTTTAGGCGAAACAGATTCGGAAGCTCCAAACTGCCCAAAAAAGTGACAAAAGCCATAAAACTGGATATTCTCTTTTAAAAACCAAGCCACAGGGTAAAGACCCTTCCATCATTCATTCCTTGTCTGTGCCCTGCTCCCGTACGCCGTCGGCGGCCACTGCCCTGGCCCGGCCGTATCCCGCAGAACTAACCGCGAACTGCTCATAGGGATGCTTTGTTGCATATTTCTGCATCAGCGTACTAGTAATTGGTGTGTAAAACATGTGTGGGGCACCTGCAAAAGTATTCCGAATTATCTTCTCTTGCATTACACTACCACAGAAGAGACCTCTGGGAAGCTGCCTGCCATAGGTAGGAATTGATTCAACGGACATTCACTTGTCCATCATTCAATGTAGCCGACTTGATCTGCTCTTGTGTGTAGGCAGGGGTGTGGCCAGAGCCTTTCCAGGGGGAGACACAGGGTTGACAAAACCCCTCTTATGGTGCCCCCCTCCCCCCCAAATCTCCGGATGCATCTTACCTGTTAGCAAGGGACACGGTATTCTTCGCTTTATTGTTACGACGGCATGGGATAAATCACCGGCGCCCTTAAGTTATAACGGTTTAGTAGACTCTTTTTAAACCGATAGAATCCAGAAGCTTTGTCAGAATTTTTAGCTGGACTCTGCGGACATTAATTACATCGCGAAGGAGGATTGTAGATCGATATGTTTAATCGAAATTTGAAGACAAAACTTTGATTGTAGATCAAGTTGTCAACAGTATGTATCAACATGGCCAAGCCATGTTTGTGTGGAAATGTTCAACATCCAGTCAGAATCGTTTAGTGATGCAATTTATGTGGCGTGGATTTTTCACATGCGCGCTCGCAAATCTTGGCAAAAAAACCCTCGACACCAGGCGTTGCAGTCTCCGTAGTCCGCGGAGCGTTTGCCGACTGGCTAACTCTTAGCCGTTGCCCACTAGTGGACGATAATGATGACGCCTCTGAAAAAGTTAACTTTAAACACTTAAGTCGATTTGTGATACAAGTTTTGTGATATCGTTTTCAGCATGTGTACTCGCAAATCTTAGTAACAAAGCCGTCGGCAACAGGCGTTGCATTCTCCGTAGGCCGAGCATCGTCGGCCCAGCAGCTAATACTGAGCTGTGACCAACGGGTGGACGAAAATGATGACGATTCTGAAAGAAATACTTTTCAACGCTTCAGGATACCAAATCTTACATCTACAAGGCAGTCCGGGCGCACATTTCACGTGTGCGATTTTTGAATGATAATATTAACGAATTGGCCCTTAAAGCACCGCGAAGTAGTGCTGTAATCTGTTGGTGAAACTGCAAGTGTAAAGGCAGAATATCTATCTTTTGGGCTTCTGTAACTATAAAGTATATATATATATATATATATATATATATATATATATATATATTGCATTATTATCATATAAAATATTACATTTATCCAATTTTTCCAATAATTTGATTCAATATT